GGGGGGGGGCGGGGGGGGGGGGGGGGGGGGGGGGGGGGGGGGGAGAGCAGCGCCTGCAAATTGCCCCTCTGCAAGCAGCACCCAGTATAACTGCCTCGAAGGGTTTGGGGGCCCTGCGGAGCAACCGGTGTGATGTGGACACGTGCAGGAAGGGGCAGGGGAAACCACCTCCCAGCCTTATTGATTGCTGCTTATTTATTCAAAACTTTTCTAGACTGTCCCTTATGGTGGTCTCGGAACAGTCTAGCAATAAGACAATATAAAATAAAATAAAACACAGTCCTAATAAAATTTCCAACCAACAGTGATAAAATCCCAATTAAAACAATCAAATCTTAAAACATTGGGAGATTAAAAAGATTTTAGCCTGGCACCAAAAATAATGAAGTGACAGAGCCAGGCAAACCTCTCCGGGGAGTGGGTTCCACAATCGGGGTACCACTGCAGAGAAGGCCCTTCTCCGGGGAGCCACCCTCCTCATCTCCTTCAGGGAGGGCACTGGGAGAAGGGCCTCTGCCCCAGAGCTTAAGGGGCAGGCAGGCACATATTGGAAGGAGATGCTCCTTCTGGTAGCCAGGCCCAAAGCCATTTAGGGCTTTATAGGTCATCCCCAGCACCTTAAATCAGGCCCGGACTTCAACTGGCAGCCAGTGTAGGTGGAAAAGGACTGGTATTGTGTTCATACCTGCCGGCCCCCATTAACAACCTGGCAGCTCTATTCTGAACCAGTCTTCCATGAGTGGACACCTCTACTCAACCCTTCTGCAAGTTGCTTTTCAGATCCAGTGACTGAGCCGTGGAGGATTCCCACCCACTCCATTCCACACCTGGAGACAACCCAAGCTTCCTGGCGAGTCTCTTCATGCCAGGGAAGAGAGACCAAAACACCTTGGTGCGCACCCTCTTTTCTTCCCCATTGATCACTCTCATTTGCACCAGAAGTAATGCAGTTTGAGAGGTTGGACTATACTGTAAATGATTCGGGGCAGCCAGCTCAGGTGCATCCACAAACTGCCATGCTGAGCTGACTGACTGGGCAGTAAGTTTTTATAATCTCTTCATGCTTCTATTTATAATGCAGAAAAGCTTTGGATGGCAAGGGATCTTGGAATCTGAGGGATCCCCTACCCCATGTGGATTCCTGATAAAGCCTTAGTCTAGCTAGCAGGAGACAAGCTGCGAGGGGTGCTTGCTGTGACGTTCGGAGGCCTGTGAGCATCTGGTGAGGAGACGGGACCGTGCCGTAAGGCATTCTTACCTCCATTTTAAAAAATCTGTTGTGGGAATTGAGTAATACAGGACTGGATATGAACAAGAGTAGAACAGAAAGGAGATTTATCTACGGCACGTGAAGTTAATTATTCATGGTGCGTAAATGCTTCAGCAAACTTTGCTAAGTATGCCATCACTTAACTTACCTTGAACAACCATGATGCAAATATTCTGAGTGGTGGAATTAAAACAGGAGGAGAAGGGGTGGATTGGTTATCCAGACTGATAGCAAGATTGTCTCTTATCTAAAACAAAACAAACAAAACAATTTTTGGTACAGAATAGCACATCCCTTCCTAACCTTAAGTTACAAAGGCTCAAACCTTGTTTCCTGAGTGCTTCAGAAAATCACAAACCCATCAGGGTCCTTGAACAAAGGAGAACGTATTTAAGAAACTAGGCAACTGATACTAGATGCAGTCTGACCATTCTTCTTCACCTTGTAGGATGCAAACACGAGACATTATATTCTTCCCCTACACTAGTGACTACAGTTCTTTCTTCGCTCCTGTTCTCTGACCTTTTCTACGCAAAGCATTTACCGTGCCCCTCTCATTTCTTACTCAGCTGATATCCTGACCCTCTGGCTTTGATGGCTTTTAAAAGGCACTTTTGCTTTTTTAACAGCAGGAAAAATTGAGTATTATTTGAAAGCTAGCCAAAGAAAACTTACTTTTCTACTTGTGTGATTATGTCATTCTACTCTAGCAGAGCGCCACCTAGAGGTTATGTAGCAGAAAATCAGGAAAATGAATGCCCTGCCTAGAGATTAAATGTATCAACAGCCTCATGTGGAAAATCCCTAAGAGCAAACTTTCTCCTTTCCTGCTGAAGAAGTCTTAATCATCTAGCACCCTTTGCACTGAGAACATGGTTCTTTTGTTCTAATTTCTCATGATTCAATTTCACATTGGTAAGTATTTTGTTCCTCTTGCACTCCAGGCTTGCAGTCCCAACCCCGTCTACCTGTCGGCCAAATCTGGCCGTCCATCATTTCCCGGACATCCACATCCCTTTCGTTCAACCACCAACATTTTCAGGACTGACTACTTGGCCTGGTCTCAGGAGCAGAGAGAGGATCTGGTCTCTTCTGCATCACGTCAACTCCATTCCAAATAGGACTTGGAGTTGCCTGAACCAATAGGATAAAATTAAAATAGGAAAAAATTCATTGCAATTGAGTATGGAGGGTCGTGAAGGGATTCTCCTCTTCTTCACTTTTTCTTCAAGGTTTGCAAAATACTTCATTTTGGCTAAAAGTGTTTTGGCTTCTTGAAGGTCATCTTTCTCAAAGGCTCTGCTTTTTTTACTGCTTTCTTGGTTTTTGCAGTTTCCCCCCGATTCTGAAAGTTTGAAATATCTTTCCTAAGGCTTAGCTGTTAAAAGATGCTAGTATTTGGAGGATTCTGGCCTCGCTCCTTTTGCCCAGTCCCCGCTTTGCCTTCTGAAGCACCTGCCCCTGGAGTAGCACGGAAATCCGGCCTCTGCAGCATAACCCCTGCTGTAATCCAATTAATTTGAGCAGATGACTTCAACTCAATTCTTCTTCCTATCACAAACACCTGAAGTGTTAAATGAAATTTTCAGGGTTAAAAATCAGAGTTCAAGGATTATTTATGAAATATCACACTCTGGTATAGTCTGTGTTAAGGATAAAATCTCGCTGCAGGTCCAGAGTTTTGAAAAAAGGCCTTAAAGCATCAAAACTGGTATTATTCTTAAGTTCTGGGACAGAGTATACACTTGATGCTATTTTTTGCTTTATTCATTTTAGCTCTTAACATCATTGTCACATTATTGCACTCCCTGCAAGACAGACGGAATACAAACCTTCGCTAATTTGTGCCATAGTTCAAAGAGGTACTCAAAAACTTTGGCATGTATTTTAGGAGACTGAATATTGTTCACATCTCCAAGAATTCCCAGTATTCTTCGCCATAATACGGCAGCAGAGTCCGCATGCCAGCCAATAAGGTTCCCACCAGCAATTATACTGCAGTCGTCAGCAAGGAATTCACTGCTGTCTGGAAGAGGAAATTATTATGATTAATAGTTCACAAAAAGCCAAACATATGCGGATGGAGGACCTGCATATTATAGCAGCAGGGAGAGCAGATCCATGCGCCCGGGTGTTCTGCAACCGGACCCTCCACATCCTACAGAGGGCGCCAGCCACTCAGCGGAGGCCACCTGGTGGGGGAAGTTGCCTTCACTGCAGCACCCCCAAGTGCCAGACTTTACTACATCCCCAAAATCAGTGCCACCTGGAGAAAAGCCAAAGAAAAGCATATTCCTGGAGACCCACAAGGGTTCCCTATTTCTGTGGGCCCTGTTATTGGAATTCAACCCTGCTTTTATTGGCATAGGTTTTCTTCTTTAGTTATACTGAAGTTGGCTCAAATCTTGGGAACCTGCACGGATAAATCAATGTGATGCTTTCTGGCAAGGACGCCAGTTGGCAATACGGTGACCCCAGTGTGGTTGTGAGCCTCTTTGCATTTGCCGTGGGCTTTCCTTCCTGTTCCTCTTTTCCCTGAGATTGCAGACATGCTTACGTCCCTGCCAGGAAACCACAGTGGTTGTCGTTTTAGTTTCTGCCAACAAATAGAAACGCGCAGGTATAGCACTACAAAAAAAGCTGGGAATTATTCACATCCTCTGTCGCTCTGGCATGATCACAATCAGGAGTTGAAGGTTCTGGCCAGAAAACCTCCCACTCAATATGCTCAGCACATGCCATCCTTAATATACCCAATTCACCCAAAAGTTAAATGATTCATGTGGCGATTTCAGTTTTATACCACGCAAAAGCCAGGGCCAAAAATGCACACATTTCTGCATTTTCACCCCAACGTGGGCTTCCATGGTGGAAAAGTTTGGCCCAGACACACTTTAAAAAGATTCTAGAAGAAACACTCACAAAATCTAACCAGGGCAATAAACCAACCTTTCAAAGCCACAAGCAAGACAAACCTGGGAAAACCCAGAGGTTTTGAACGACGTGTTGGATTACTGTAACGTGCTCTGCATGGGGCCGCCCTCGAAAATGGTCAAGATGCTTCAATTGGTACAAAGTAGAGCTGCCGGGCTGCTGACGGGGACTGGGTGTTATTCTCATATAACGCCGGTCCTCTAACAGCTTCACTGGCTCCCAGTTGAAGCCCAAGCCCAATTCAAGGTGCTGGTACTAACCTACATAGCCCTAAACGGCTTGGGACCAGGATACCTGAAGGAACGTCTCTTTCCCTACATGCCCTCAAGCCCCTTAAGATTGGCAGGGGAGGCCTTGCTCCGGGAACCCTCTTTGAAGGAAGTATGGAAGGTATCTACCCGGAGGAGGGTCTTCTCTGCGGTGGCGCCCATGCTATGGGAGATGCTCCCCAGAGCAGTCTGCCTGGTGTCGACGCTCTACTCTTTCCGGGGCCACGTAAAGACCTTTTTATTTACCCATCATTTTCCTAATTAAATTAATGATTTTAATAAGAAATTAATAACATTTTATAGTCACATTTTCTTTTTCTTCTTTTCCTTTCTTTCCTTCTTTTAATCCTGAACGATTCTTATTCTCGAATGTTTTAATGTTTATTATTGAATATTTTAATTGTCTTTTATATGATTATTTAATTATTGTAAGCTGCCCTGAGGCTATGGAAAGGACAGGATAGAAATGTTTTAAATAAATAAATATTCCTGCCATCATTCATCACAGAATTTCTCAGTTCTAGAGGTTGATTAGTGGGTTTTCAGCACCCTCTAGTGCTGCAAAAGCAGATTATCCTCAAAGATTTATACTATCTACCTTGTACCTCAGAAAATAAGCACCTCACATCGCTCTCCTCTCTTCAGACTAGCCAATACCTGAGTACTTCCACCTGTTCCATAAAGAGACATTTGCCGTGTTCCCAGGCCAACTGCTTGCCAAGAGAATAAACATAAATGGGTAGGAAATCCCACCCACGTGAGGGTTGGCTGAGCTGCGAGCAACCCACGGGTTCTCCACCCTTGTACAGGCCAAAGGAGCAAGGAAGAGGGGCAAACTGAGCCACGAGCGTACCAACACCTCTTTCCCTCTTTCTTGCACCCCGGCATTTCCTCAAACAGAGATACCTGTTAAATTGGTAGCACCCGAAGGATTCACATGCAACCAGTGGCGTGAGTCTGGATCAACGGATATCTCTCCGGGCATGCTGATATCCTGGTTTTCTTCACAGCCTTGCCAGGAAGCTGCATCGACTTCATTGTTATATCCATCCGCAGTGTCGCCATTAATACTTCCACCTGCAGAACCAAAGGTAATGAATAAACCCGCTCAGGGGAATGAAGTTTCTTCAAATGTCAACCGAAATAAGGTCGGTTTATTGGAGATGCTAATAGTGGGATCCACACTTTCTAACACAAACCGGTCCGACAGAACTACGAAGTGGCGTCCTATTGGGACTCACGCTTTTCTCCTCTGGGCCTTCCATTGGAGTGGTCCATGTCTGTTCTGAGATCAAGTTCAGTGGCAGAGTTGCTTGCCTACAGGAAATATTTCAGGAGAAAAAAGACAGCTGCATGGCTGACACTTTTTTGATGATCAAAAGCTAACATAGGTACATCATCCCAATAATTTTTTTCTTGTCAGGAACATCTGCCAATTATAGAGAAGAAATGGGTTTGTTTTTTTTTAAATGTAACTATACTATTCTAAATTTGGCAATTTTATAAGCAATTAAAAAACATTTTAGGCCCCTGTTCTGTTCTTATGTTTCTGTATTTTCTCACTTTCATTAAAAGAAAAAGGTTATTGTACAACTTATTCTGTCTGTCTGTACTGGGATGCACTTTCTGTCCGACCAGTCCCTTAAACATCTGATTCCAGCCAAGAGGCTTACTTAACTGGATATGGCTTTCTTGTATATTACGAATGATGACCCAAACTATTTAATTCAAGAATCTTTAAGTGATCCCAACCAAGTATTTGAAGACTGACGTACTATTCCGCTTGCAAAACTCTAATGGATAAAAAATTCAATTTTTGTTCCTTTAGAAAAATCACCTTTATGGGCTTCAAGCCCATGTCCACCGGCAGGTTTATTTTGGGTAGCAGTGGTTAACAGTTTTACAACTGAGGCAGCATGTTGAGGTTTAACTGGGAACTCTACCAAACCCTGAAAGTTACTGCTTTTCTTTTCTTTTAATTGCAGAATTATAATCCACAGAGGAAAACTGTTGTTCTTCCTGACTTTTCCCAGCTATTTTGTGCCCTCACATCTCTCATTTTTATGCCGAACTGAGAAATCTAACAGAGCACATAAAGAATTGGTCCGAACACGGAACAGACCAAGGCAAGCTGTAAATAACAGATGGACATGATCCTATACACGTTTAGGAAGGGAGAAAGTCCTACAACTGCTGACATCTATCCATCTAGTCAGCCCGTTGCATGCTAGGACTCTCTTTCTGCCTGAATATATGCAGGATTGCACCCTTATAAAGGAAGACCAATGAGCAATCCTGTAATACTGCTCTACAAACCAAACCGCTCCGCAAACATGAAAACACTCCATGAACCTGTACCAATTTGTTTTGAATTTCAAAACAAATTCTTCATGTGTCACAGTTTCCTTCTGTTATACAACTGACAAAATGTTCCCATTTAAGTTGAGACACCTTTGTAAAAGGCCTTTTTTGCATATAATATAGCACAAACACCGTATCTTACTTCACATGCATGATAAACTTCGCTACTTACTTCTCGGATGACATTTTCCTTGCTGACGTTCCCACTGGATCCTGAAATTAAATTCTGTGAGCTTCCCACTTTTCTAGCTGCAGTAGAAAATGAAAATGCATTTAAAAAAACCGTCAAAATGTTTAATTCAAGAAGCATAAGGATTATCAAAAACGAGTAATTGTTTTGTTAGTGCGACCTACCAAACATCCACTTTTTCTAAACGACGTGCTTATATCCTTCTTATATATTCAAGAAGAAGATAAAGAAGATTTACATGAAATGCAAATGAAATGCTGCCCAGAGAAAGTTTAAACTGAGCAGGGTTTGTTCCTCGAAATGACACTCGTCAGCAGGAGGTTTCAAGTTTTAATTGTGTTGCCACCCTTGGAAAGAATCAGGGACAGGTTGCTTGCTTACAGCTGCAGCGCTCCGTGGGGTTATTGGTGAAGTCGTGCGAGAGAGAGAAATACAAACATTTTGTTGCTTCTCTCACTTGGCTTTTCTCTCGCAGAGTACCTTTGGAGTCTAATAGTCAAATCCTCTGCCTAAGGGCACTGTTTTTTAGGACTGTGCTCTAAAATGATATGAGCAACGATTCTTTACAACATGAGTGATTAGGAGAACTCTTAAAATCTATGAGTTTTTTGCTGAAACTTCTAAAGGTTTTGCACACAAAATTGGGAGCATTTCCCCACCATCCCCAAAACGGGCTTTATAGTCAACCCTGCACATGTCTACTTGCAGCTAAATCCCACTGTGCTCAGTAGGGCTTACTCTCAAGTAAGTGCCGACAGAATTTCAGTCCTTGCGGATCATTTTATTTTACAAGAATGGACACTCCTACCATATTTGATCACACTTACTGCAGCGTAAATGATTAAAAACATCTTTCTTGGCAAGTTGCTATACAGATCTAGTTAAAGTCTGGAAGAACGTCTCCTTCCGTATTTGCCCTCACGCCCCTTAAAATCAGCGAGGGAGGCCCTACTCCAAGAACCCTCCCAGGAGGAGGTAAAAAGGGCATCTACTTGAAGTAGGGCCTTCTCTGTGGGGGCACCCAGATTATGGGATGTGTTCCCCGGAAAGGTTCACTTGGCACCGAGCTTATACTCTTTTTGGCGCCAGGTCAAAACATTTTTATTTAATCAGTATTTTAAAAACTACTATTTAATGCAACAGTCACATTTTATTGGTTATATGTTTTTATTGCTTGGGTTGTTTTAATGTATTTGATTTTATGGATTATGTATTGATTGTGAGCTGTCCCAGGATGCCTTGCCTGGGGGAAGGTGTACAAAAGTTTTAAACAAATAAATAAATAAAGTCACACATCTAACATTTCGGTGAAAAATCAGAGCTTTTAAAACGCTAGCATAACACTGTGTTCAGTACAGCAAAATACACGACACATGATGGAAAACGGCATGTGATGTCAAATGTGTTTTGTACCAAACACAAGTTTTTCCTGTTACTTATAAATTACCTTGAAAGATATCAGCACTACATTGGTCTCTAATATCTGAGGTACTGCTGCTGCGAGTTAGTTGCTCCTGGTCTAAAAATGATTCATCACTTTCTGTTCCTGCCATATTTTCCTGCTGGTAGTATTCTGCTCCATTTTCTGACTGTTGATATTCTTCTGCTTCTGTAGGGATTAATAAAAAAGCTTTCAACCATACAAAAATTACACGTGCCCATCCTGAATACTGGGAAAAATGTCAACAGCATTTATGTCATTAACTTATTTGCACTGTATTAATAGGGAACACAAAATGAAAGTTAACTACAGCTTAGGTTTGATCTACATTTTATTGGTATAGAGTGAATTACTTCTCCACTGCAAAATGATGAGAAAGGCGTATGACTTAGAAGTTAGAAGAGGCATGCAAGAGGAGATTTAAAATTCGCATGATTTGATTTTAATGGTTTTAATTCTGTATTTCAATTACTATTATTACCATTTTCCCCTTTTACTGTTCACCACCTGGATATGTTATTGATGCAAATTGTATACTTAAAAAAAAAAAAAACTCTCACACTTTTCTGAACATTGCTCCTTCCTTGTAAACTTCCTACCATTTTACAGTGGAAAAACAGCAGTTGTGAAATATTTTCACATTATAAGTTTGAAACATTACGCAAAATGTCCTGCTTTTCTTTTCTAATACTTGGAGTATCTTGGCTTTTGTGTATACTAAATATCCGTTTGCTAGTTAGTGTAGAAGTCTTCTCAGATCTAATCCCTTTGCAGAAGCCAGTCCAAAACGAATGCATGCACGTAAAATAAATACATATCAAAGAGAGATGGACAGACTCTGCAGTACCTCCAATGCTTTAAAGGCTAAAACAGCACCCACACTAAGTTTTGGGAAAGGATGATGCCTGCAAATTGCGTAAATGAAATTTAAAGATATTTGTATTTGCTTCTTCCACTTCAGTGCATTATTCTATTCTATTCTATTTTATTTATTTTATTTGTATTTTATTGTATTTTATTTTGTGTTGTGAGCCGCCCCGAGGCTTTGGCAAGGGGCGGCATAGAAATGTTTTAATGAATAAATAAATACATACATAAATTCTGCCAGTGTTTTTGTGAGGATCAGCAAGGAACCCTGAAGAACACTGCTATGCAATACGCAACTTGCAATTGCAAATGAATTTGCTTTTCCAGTGGCTCAATACCATGTTTTCATACACAGGTATTTCTGCCAGATATAAGCATCGTTAGCTGTGTCAGGAATGTTAGATGACCTCTTTTCCTCTCCTCCTCAGGCTAAATGTTTCAGTTTAGTGACACATCTCCTGTTTTCAGTTTTAGTATCACAGTCCCAGAGATGCGGCGCCATCTCTGGGAAGGCATCCAATTCTGATAATCAGCAACAGAAAAGGAAATACAGCTCCCCAAAGAAATGCCTGAACTCCTATTACAGGGATGCTTGGTTCAGAAAATCCTATTTCGTGAACTCAAGTTTAAACCTTGCTCTCTCTCATATATTTTTGGAGGCTGGGAAAATGCATGGATGATTTAATGATGAGGGTTTGGGGCAGGACTCAGCAACTCTTTCCTTGATCACTGCATATCGAGGTCAGACTAGATGGCCTGGGAGACCCCTTCTGACTTGCTCTGTTTCCATGTTTCTATATACTCCAGTAAGGACTTTGTGGGAATGTGCAAGGAAGAAGGAAAGATTTGCTGAGCACTGTGAAGACACCTCATGGTGGTGATGAAGCCACGCTGCTTTCTCTGCCTTCCCCAGTCCCTTTTCTTGGCCTCAGTCTTGAGGGCACAGCCTCGCGGGAGCTTTCTTTCGGCCAAAGATCCAGGCCAAAGGGCTTGATCCAGGCACTCTTGCTTGCTGCTGCTGCTTTGCATTGATCACCATGTTGGTGCTTGCTTGGGGTGCTTTGGGTGAACATCTTGCATCTTCCTTTGGCCTCGCTATAGGTAAAGTAAGGGGCCTTCCATCCAACGATTGTATTTTTTCACCGCTGGTAGATGCAGATGTGGTTCACTTAACTAAGTGCTCAGTCTGACTGGACACCCTCCCACCTACAGGTGATTTTTCCACTGGTTTGGGTTTTATAATCGTTTTGCAAGTCCCCACTGGTATCCAGTGCTCTTTATCACACAGAGATCAAATCGAGGCCACGGAGATGAAGTGCTTCAACCACACCGTGAATTTACGAGTGTCAAAAACTAGGGAGGAAGACAAGGAGAAAAGCAGTTGGTCCACGAGCACATTGGTGAAGCCACTGGGCCAGGACAGATGCTCACTCCTGGGATATAACGCGTCTGCTACTGCATGCAAACTGCCCTTTTAGGACAAAAAGATCCTTGTTCAAAATGTTGCACGTAAAACACAGTTCAGCAAATGCAGGACATTTAGAAGCAAAACAGGTTTAAATACCATACCTGAAAGTGTGTGAGAGTAAGTGTAAGAGAAACCAGGTAAGACAGAGCTCACAGTGTGAAGGAGAAGAGGGACACTTTTAGTGGCTGGCAAAACCTCACAGAGTTGAGCACAGTTGCTGATAGACTGGCTTCGCTTAGCTTCCGTGGGAAAATAAATTAACAAAAATCAAGACAGTAACATTCGTTTAGTAAAATATTCCGTGAGAGAGAAAAAGAAGAGAGCAAGAAAAACATTTCTTAAACATGCATCCTCAGGCACACGTTATTTCATTTCTATTAATGTCAAGCACAAAGAATTCAGTAAGGTATAATCTACAAAATTATTTGCGTTATTCACAGAAAAGGGAACCTATTTGAAAGCCAGTTGATTAACCTCTTCACTAAAACACTGTTAGAGAAGAGATATTTCCTCTGTAGTTGCAAATATTACTATTTTTTAAAAATTCCTAGGTGTGACGAGTGGATTACTAGCAAAAATTATTAACCTTGGGTCCACATGCTGACTCTTCTGGAGCAAAAAGGCTTTTATACCATCACCCAGGAATATGTGAACACCTGTAGAAAAATGGCAACAATACGCCAAACAGTGGTGGAAAAAATAAAAAATAAGGGAGCACAAACAAAGTAGATTTTGTCTTTCATATCGGAATTTTAAACAAAACCAGAAACTAACATGTATATTCAGTTACTGAACACATTTACGCAGAGGTTTCACTGGTATAATTATAAAAAATAAATTTATATAATTATATTATCAGATAATTATCTTATTATCTTATCTTACTATCTTATTATCTTAATAATATAATAAGATAAAAAATATCTTATTTCTTATTGTAAGATGTCCTGAGACCCCAGTGGTGGACAGGGAATAAGTTTTAAATAAATGAACTAAATAAATAAACAAACGGTAATTTTGATTAGAATTATCTTTTAAGTGTCAGTCTTCACTATCATAACCTAATCCTCTTGTCCAAATAGGGAATAGATACAGAAAAGTAAAGTTTCTGCAGGCAGAACTTAAGTAACGCTTTAAAAATCTGAGAGCTAGAGCTTTTCCTGCTGTGGCAATAAAGCGATGCAAAAGGCATCACCTTTCCAGTGTTTTGCCTCTCGGGCCGTTGCTGCAGATGCAGTGAGACAGCTTGATTATCAGAACTCCTGTGCGAAATGGTCGAGTGAACTGCCCAAATGGCTTAAATTGTGCCCACTCGGGGCAAGGAGGGACACAGAGCTATTTGCGAACAAGACCTCCAACCCAAAGAGCAGCAAGAAAACACTGCTGAAGTGAACAGGAAACAGTAAAAGCAGCCAAGAGAGACGGAGGTTAAACACGTCTATGCTCAGGACTGCATTGTTTTGCTCTCTACTGAAAAGGGACAATTCTCAACACCTGTGTGAATACGAACAAAATTCTAACACAATCATGCAAAATTGGGAAAGAGATGTATTAGGAACAGAAAGCAGAAAATTGGGACCACCCTGATAATCAAATGCCACGTGCGCCACTTCGGAAGCAGGCTCTCATCTCAGCTTTGCTGATTTCCAGAGAGATTGCAACCGATTTATCTGCAATTTATCTGCCCTTTCTTACAGAGGGCACTGGATGTACATGGTGAAATGAGCTCTATCCCAGGAAAGTTTATGCTGAAATAATTATCAGTACTTGCCACCATGGCTTGATTCTGGAAAAGTTCTTGCAAGTTCTCAAAATATAGAACATCTTCCAATATTTTGTCTGTCATGCATATGGTAACATGAGCTTCACGCTACACAGCCTGAGAGTCCTCAGTCAAAGAACCTGATAAATCTTTGCAAATCATAATCAGGGGACAAGGGGTTTAGAAGTTTGCTTCGAGGGGGGGCAAACCTTCCTTTTCTGATGCGGACAGCAGAAGTTCAAAATCAAAACCTTTAGATCATTCAGACAGTAATTCTGATTAGGGAAACAAACTTGGGTAATGATAGTATTTTAAAGATTAGCATTTATTGTTACAGAGTGAGGGATAATTAAAAATAAATTAAAATGTCTTGAAATAAGAATAAAAAGAAAGCTAGTTTTGCTCTAGAAACACTGCAAAATGTCTAGTCTGATCTGCTGCATATTTCCTGAAAAGCAAGTCACATAGGATTCAGTGGGTTTACTTTAAGGTAAATGTTCAGCTTTATGATGCTACTATGGAATTCAATAATACCAAGTTCAAATGAATTTCTAACTTTATTTTTAGCCCTTATACGATATTACAGTGATGTTTATTTTCTAAGTTTCACCTCTAAATATAGCAACATTTTCTACTTCTGCATCCAGTGCCAAGATGTACATACTATTTCTAAGTCCATATAATAACATTCCCTTTTACATCCAGCAATGTTGATGTTTTCTGTGTTATAATTAGCGGTTTAACAATTGTGACTTTCATAATTCTAAATGCTGTAAATCTCTTACGTGTTAAGTTGGCAATCTAATGCATTCGATCCTCTTTAAAAAGTTCAGAACACCAGTGTTACATATATCCCAATGCTTCTCAGATTTTCTAGCATCTCTGCATTTGTGTGGCAGATACTAACTAGGCTGCAGCAAACTTTTGCAACATTTTCAACTTCTCCCAAGGAAGAATTTATCGAAAGATATTTTTATGAAAGCGGATCACCACTTTGTTAGGAACTGATCTGGAATGTCTGAAAAGCGCCGAACTAATAAAGCGCTTAGTGTATTCATGGCTGCAAGATTTTAATTGGAGATTGTTAGGCTTGTATCCAAAGTAGCCCTGCAGAGAATGCTTGGCAATTTAGAGAGGCTGGTGCACACGGAAATTAGACAGGAAGCAATTTCCACTAATTCCCCCTTCCATCTGCAGCCTCCCACATGTCGCCCACATTACTCTGGAATAGATAGGACAGTCACAGAGAGAATTGCAAATCTGCATCTCTCAAGCTCCCTTCACTGGTACTCCAAATCTCCCACCCTGGGATCCACAATTCTTTGCGTTATCTGAATAACAAGCATCTATTTTATTGATCAATGGATTGGATTTGTTGGAAAGTTGCCAGTTACCCTTGCAACTCTCTGGGAGGCCATGAAAGTAGAAGTTCTGATAAATAGCATTAAGTAAAGCAATAGGGTTAAAATATCATAATCAATAAAACAAGATAAAAAAGATACGCGCAGTCAAGTAAAACTAAAACATAAATTAATATATTAAAAGCAATACAATTAATATGGATGGTCTAAACCCTGTCACAGGAGCCCTGAAAAAGAAGTGCTTGTTAAGCACTTGAAGCTCATTTGGGAATATTAAGCAGGAAGTTAATGGAATAATATTACGTTCTCTTTCAGAAGGATTATATAACACTATAAAAAGGTTTGTAATTCTAACATAAATACAATTTGTAGAGGCACGCGTTACTCTTTCCAGAACATTTCTTCTCCTGTGCTCGCTCAGAAAAGATAGGGGCCGCTTAGAGAAATTTCTTTGGGATGCAGATGTCTTCTAAGTCTCGGTTCCTGTGGATAGAGCTTGCCTCCTCTGCTGCCTTGCAGTTTGAGTACGTCACGGGCATGGTGCATCCTGAAGCGAGCGGAAGGATGCGGGGCTTTATTAACTCCAGATAACTAACACTGAAAAATTCCAAAATGGAAAGGGATTCTCTCTCTCTCCCGCCAAACCTGCATCACAAAGGCCGCGTGCCTCTTGCCGGGACCAGACCGAGGCGAACCACACTGGCCCATCCCTCGACTCACATGTAGTGAAATGGGGGGGGGGGGGCTGAGGAGGCTCTGCATTAAAACTGCCACATACATGAACAATCACACAATTGCAGGGGCCATGACAAAAGCTGAAATGGCTAGAAGGCAGTTCGTTTGCCCAAAGGACCTCATATCAGGTGACAGAAATACATTCCAGTTGCTAGGAAGAACGGACGGACAGAAGGAAGGAAGGAAGGAAGGAAGGACGGACGGATGGAAGGACGGAAGGAAGGAAGGAAGGAAGGAAATCACCAGCATTCAGTTTCTGATTGATACTTAGGGCATTAAATTGCCCGTGCCTAACCTGTTGCACGCTGACGCACTACATTCCTTGCTTTTTCGATTCCTGGGACTCCCGAGGTGGTAGCACTCCGAAACCTCATTGGTTCCACAACGCCAGGATGATTCCTCCAGCTTAAAGAAAATGATCTTCCCACTGCGACTCCCTTCTGAGGTTCCGAAGCGCCACCTTCCAGATAGTGGAATACAGACAGAATGCAGTGACAGCAGATTTAAACTGAGACACTTCAGAAGGAGAAACTGTAGAAATTCATCCCATTACTGCCATTAATCAGTTGCATAATCTCAGACGTAAGCACTCCTTGAAGATGGAGATGATACTTCTTTTAAAAAAAGGATTGTAATGCCGATCCCATGAGCAAGCGCTTCACCTACGGCAGGTACCAGGTTGTGCGTAGTGAGATCTCACAGGTAAATAACAAATGAGCACAACCCCTTTTAATCAACAACCCACACTGAGTCCCCATGCAAAATGTTGAGGGTGACAAGAAAACCCGCAGTGCTGAGTTGCTGCTGTTCAAAACAACCCGGAGGTTAACCCGTGGCTTGTTGTAAGGTCAGCTGCTAGGCTCCTCAACAGCCCGGGGTTCCAGCGTTTGCATGTCACACTCGACAACTTAAGCACAGGCCATCTGCAGGTTCTGAGGAAGAGCGGAAGCACCATGCATGCAGGAAGCAGCGCTCTCTCACCTGCTCATCTCCGAACCAGGTGTGATGCTGGTGTGTGTCAAACAATGCGAACGGTTTATTTGGAAGTTTTCCTGCAGGTGCCACGTTGGAATGAGCTACATAGGAGGGTTAAGATCACCTCCCGCACATGCCAATAGATGTTTTTCAAAGATGCATGAGTTCACCTCACCCAACAGACTGGGATAAAAATGATCCCAGGCGCATTTTGGATTGCAGAATTTACACAGAAATTACACATACAAATCTCTTTCCAGGAGATTGCCATCTGCATGAGAGCAAACAATATCCCAGATTTCCTCCATCTACCATGTTGATTTTTTTTCTGTACAGAAAGAATGCCTGAAGGGAAAATGTCCTTCAAAAACCAGATGAAGCCCTGGTTTGGGGACATTTTTTATTCCAGCTCATGTAATGAGAGCCAGTGCGGTGTAGTGGTTAAGAGCACAGGACTGGGACTCAAGCGATCTGGGTTCGAGTCCCCGCTCGGCCATGGAGCCAACTGGGTGACTTTGGGCCAGTCATAGACTCTCAGCCCAACCTACCTCACAGGGTTGTTGTTGTGGGGAGAAGATGGAGGAGGAGAATGAGGTAAGCTGCCTTGAGCCCTTTGTAGGAAAAAGGCAGGATATAAATCGGAAAATAATAAATAAATAAATAAATAAAGTGTTGGGCTAATCCTTTCCCAACAAAAATGTATCCAAGGAGAACGATCTGAAGACCCAGACCAACCTTTTGGCTGGAAACCAAAGTCTGGGGCACAAGAAAAGGAGAAGGGCACTTTAGTGCGATGATGGACAAAGGCTGGTGCATCATGGCAGAGAGACCAACTCTCCAAGCACATGCTAATGCTTGGAGTATAGGAAACAAGCAGCACCAACTTGAACGCTTAACACAGGAGGGTGAACATGATCTGGCAGGTGACAGGACGACTCCCATGACTGGAATTCAGCCACTGAAGGCTACAACCTGCCCAAGAGCAGAAGAAACAGAAAGGGAGGCGGAGTCCCACTATAGGTTACAGGCACCTAGCTCTGCACAGAAATATGGGAGGATGAACTTGGTAGCCCCACCAAGAGCATCTGGATTGATGTAAATGGAATAAGGAATAAAAGGGGCACAGTGGCGGGAGTCTATTACAGGCTACCTGTCACTTCCAAAATCATGTGAAATGGTAAAGGTAAAAAGGAAAATGTTTCCCCTTGTCACGAAGTCCAGTCATGCCTGACTCCAGGGGGCGGTGCTCATCTCCGCTTCCCGGCCGAGGGAGCCAGCGTTTGTCCGCAGACGGTCTCCGTGGTCGTGGGGCCGCATGACTAAACACCGAAGTGCACGGAACGCTGTTACCTGCCCACCGAAGTGCCACCTTTTCATCTCCTTGCATTGGCATGCTTTCGAACTGCAAGGTCAGCAGGAGCTGGGACGGAGCAATGGGAATTCACCCTGCTGTGCAGATTCGAACCGGCGCCCTTTCGATCTACCAGCCCAGTGGCACAGCGGTTCAAACCACTGCGCCACCTGCATCCCCAGTGAAATGGTAGTTCTGCTTTATCCAGCACGGGTTAGGCCTCATCTGGAGCACTGTCTCCTGTTCTGGGCACCAGTTTAGGAAAGATGCAGACCAGCGGGGAAGGGTTCAGAGGAGGGCAATGAGGATGATCTGGGGAGCTGAAGCCCTCCCAGGACAGATGGGAAGTCTGGAGTCCATGCTTAGTCTGGAGAAGAGAAGACTGAGGGGAGATGGGATAGCACTCTACAAATACTTGAAGAATGTCATGGATTGGAAGGACAGCATCTTTTCTCTGTCATCCCAGAGTACAAGATGCAGAACAACCCGCTCAAGTTAGAGGAAGGCAGATTCTGTCAGGACACCTGGAGGAATGTCTTGACTGACAGAGCAGCAGGACAATGAAAGGCATGACCCAGGGGGTGGTGGGCCGTCCACACTGGAGCCATTCAGGACAGCCGCCTGAGCGGGACGGTGCAAGCTGGAGACCAGCGCTGAGCAAAGGGCTGGAACCGACGGCCCAATCGCCCTTCCGTCTCTACTGTTCCAGGATTCCATGATAAGGGACCTGCTTAAAATTTCCGCATCCAAAGACTGATCTTTCCTACATCGTTGGGGGAGGAGAGAACACAAGCCCCACTGAACTCTTTCAGGCCTGAAAAGGCATGGATGGTGAAGCCCAACGAGATGCGACCAAGTCTGAGTGGTTCTGGATGCCCTAAGACAGGCATCTTGGCCCTGTTTTGGGTGCTGCCATTGTCTTCTTTTCCCTCAGCTCTTCTGTAAGGGGCAGACCCAGCGAATAACATGCTTCTAAACACTGTGAGAGGGATGCAGGTGGCGCAGTGGTTTAAACCGCTGTGCTGCTGGGCTGGGTGATCGAAAGGTCGCCGGTTCGAATCTGCACAACGGAGTGAGTTCCTGTTGCTCCGTCCCAGCTCCTGCTGACCTTGCAGTTCGAAAGCATGCAAATGCAAGTAGATGAAAAGGTGCCACTTCGGTGGGCAGGTAACAGCGTTCCGTGCACTTTGGTGTTTAGTCATGCCGGCCACATGCGCACGGAGACTGTCTGCGGACAAACGCTGGCCCCCTCGGCCAGGAAATGGAGATGAGCACCGCCCCTTAGAGTCAGGCCTGACTGGACTTTAATGTCAAGGGGAAACCTTTACCTTTAAACACTGTGAGAGCAAGCAGAAAAACTGGCCTGAAGGAGAAAGTGGGAGATGCCCCCAAGCTGGCCCTCCAAGCCAGGTTTTTGCTGCTCTTGTTGTTAAAAATACCCTTCCTCCTGCCACACAAAGCAGGTGGTCCTCACTGCCTGGGTGGCAACACGTGGAGAGAGGGGAGGTTAACATCAGAGTAGTTGGGAGTGGGGCTTGGGCTTAATTTTGGGATAAAGCAACAGCACAAGATTTTCTAGGCTCAACAGACAATTGCATCGGCATCAGCGAGTATCCATGCCAGAAAGAACCCTCCCAGCTCGAGGTGCACCACTGTCCCATGTCCACCTGAGCGAGGTTTACCTTTTCCTCTTTGTATCTTCTCTTTTTGCTCACTTAGCTTATCCAGTGGCAAATTGGTCATTTCCACGCCATACACAGTTCTCGCTAAAATAGCAGTGAGCGAATCCATGATGTTCGCCCATTCCACTATTAGTTCTTTCCAGTCTGTAAGAGACGACAGCACACGGAGCAATTCATCCCAGAGTTCTCGAGAAATATAAACATTCAGATTAGCCCGAATCCATGCCACAATGAGAGTCTGTGATGGGGAGACAAGAAGGAGCGACTTTTTATCTAGAATTTTAAGACACTGGTTTCTAGAGGCGGTATCACTCATCCATGCACTGCATTATATTAATTACATAAAATCAATCCATTCAAAAGAAGCAACCAATTTCATAACTAAAAACACTTGTTCCTATCTATTTTTGCAGCCTGACATTTTTACACTGCAACATCTAGACGGAAGAATCTTTCCAACTGTAGCTTACGATAGAACATCCAACCCATTTACTGATGTCTTAACCAATCCCTCCCACTTCCCTCTTCTCCAAGAGAAGAATGACAGTGGTACCTTGGCTCACGAGCTTAATCCGTTCCAGGGCTCTGGTCGTGACCCAAAATGGTCGTGAGCCAAGTTAAATTTCCCAGGGAGGTTCAATGTAAACAAGGTTAATCCGTTCTGCAACAATTTTTAAGTCAGAAAAATGTGAAACAAAGTGACAAAGAACAACAAAGATCATGGCCATCCCCCCCCACCCCAAGCATGGCCATCTCCCCACCCCCAGCACAACCACAATCGCCCCCGTCATCCCGGCACGCTGGGGGGGAGAGATGGTGTGATCGCAGGCACGCTGGGGGGAGAGACGGGCACGAACGGGGTGCGTGGGGGGGGAGATGGCCGAGATCGCGGTTGCGCTCCTGCAGGAAAGATGGGCGCAATCACGGGCGTGCGCCTGCAGGAAAGACAGGTGCGACCTCAGCCATTTCCTCCCACTGCTCCCAGCACGATCGTGGTCATCTCCCCACTGGGGTGGGGGGGAGACGGTCGTGATCATGGTTGCCACCCAATGTGGAGTTCGTGACCTGAGTTAAAATTTTTATGAAATTTTTGTTCGCGACCCGATTTGGTCGTGAACCGAAGCGTTTGTGAGCCAAGGTACCACTGTATAATTAATTCTTGGTCATCCAGTTCATGACAGAAAAACATTCAGAACCCATTTTTGAATGTTATTTAAACCGGGTCCAGCTTAACTGAAGTTTATTTCCACCTTAAGGATCATTGAACTTTGCTTTCTCAAGCCAAGATGCAGTTCCAGTTTTCATATGACTGAATTACTAAGTACAAATCAGATGCTAGTTTGCTTCGGAGGAAATAACACGCATCCCATTAACTGCCCCTCACTGAAAACCTTCCTATCCTGCTTTTTCCTTCAGCAAAGACAGTTTGCAAATCAGTCCATCCAGTACTACGCCCTGCAGAATCCCACTTATTTCAGTGAGACGCTCTTTGAGTACGTACGTAACCTTCTCATTTAAATAAGAGGGGCTTAGTTAGCTTTGACTAGATAATGCACCCGATACATGCATTTCTGGTGGTATTACAAAATCTTCCCACTGCTCACATAGGTTTTACTTAGGGGATATAAAACCGGTTCTTCACTCAACTGAATCCCCCACCCTTGTGTGCAAATCTAGTCGCACATCAGTGCTTCCTACATTACTCATCTTTCTTTGTGTAACAGGTGCCAAGTTCATCATCATTAATGAAGGGCGATCCTGTACTTTTTAATAAGAATGTTTAAAGTGAGCAAAAGTATACCTTTTGGGCAAGGACACAGGCGTTTTTCAGGATGAGCCGATGCTTGCAGCTGCCCTTACATTTTTCTTGCACTCTTTCTAAAGAGCTTTTTCTGTGTGATCTTATGCATCAAAGGCAAGCCCTGCGAGCTCCCTGGGACCTGCTTCCAGGTCAATGGGTTCAGGACTGGAGCCGAAGCAATCCAGCCTGGCCGTCTACAAAGAATGAGACTCACCCTAAATAATAGTCCCGCTAGACTTTGAGCAAACGTGTCCTTCACTTGGTTATCTTTGGATTTGCTCATCACAGTTTCGGTTATCCTGAGAAGTATTTGTAGCATTTGCTCCCTAGGACAGAACAAGAACAAAAACCCACATGTATTTAGAATTCAATTAAACTCAATAATTTTTTTAATATATGAAAAGTATATGAAACATGTTGATGCTCTCCATGTCCACATTCTCCCAGAAAAATACCACACGCTGTCCTCTGTCAGATGGCACAGAGTTGTTCTAACAGGGACATTTCTAATATCTTTGCCATCACCACCGAGTAAACTGGCAATGCCAAACTTCCCAGGCAAAATGTAAAGTACTTCTACTGGATATGAAATGTAGCAGAGTCAGCATAGCGAATAAGTTATCTTGTACACAGTCGTTGTGACAATCAAAGGCGGCTAAGGTGACCATTTTAGGCAGAAATTTCTAACAATTTCAGGGGCAAGAACCAAATGGACATTCTTTTGGGCTCAACAAAATCAAGTCAGAAATCCGAGGCAGTACAATGGAGAAACATGAGCCCTTGGTGTCTTTCACATGCATTTCAGCTTCAACATAACCTACCACTATCCCATGCTTCAGCCTATCCTATCAGGCAAGGTCATGCAAGAAAATAAGCCATTTTGTAGGAAAACACGCAAGTGCAGAGAAATTAAAAATACATACCAGGTCTTTTGGTTCATTGGAAGCTGCATTATCATGTGCCTATATATACTCAAAACTGCTCTGCAAGCGACTATCTGCTCCTTCAAGAGTACAGGAATTTCATTGCATGGTTCCAGTAAAAATACATTTGCAGAGTTGGTCAGGAATACCTTCATATTTCGAAGGAAGAGAAGGAAAGCAGTAACCATCCCTGTCCATTCAGACTTAATTTCTAATATGTTAAATGATGCCCCGTGTATAATATTTAATATGCATGCTGAGAACAAGCTTTTGACACAAAACTTTTCACATAAAGGACTACCTTTCCCAGTCCTTTCATGTTAAAAGGTTAAGAGCATGGCCCGAGAGATTTGGGGGTCAATCAGCACCACGTTTTAGCTTTGTGGTGTACCTGAACACAGGAAAGCCAGAAAACCATCCTACATGTGGTATTCCGGAAGGAAATAGGAGAGTTCTTCTGCAAGACGGTGGGAGTTCTGGATGGTAGCTTTCCATCAGAGTTAAACTTGTCCACAGTGTCTTGGCAGAGCAAGGGCATAGTCGTGTTGTCCCCCACAGCATATGAACGTAAGTCGTAGTGGCTTATGTTCACTCTATGCCTAGCCTGCCGTCCGCTGCACCTCATCACATCCAGTCTTTTTGCTAGATGGCCACTTTCCGCCATCTTGATTTCGTGGTGGAGAAGGAGAGGGCAGAAGACTGGGAGACCTTGGTGGACTTGAGCCAGCATGGGTCTTTTCACACTAGCTGCAAGATGGCCAGCCAACAAGGTGGTGTCTCACTCCCAGCGATACGGTGGTGAGCTGAGAGGTGGGGCTCTGAAAAATCCTGTGGCCTCTTAGACAACATCTGGAGGCCTTCAGATTGCACAGATTAACTGTCTTCCTTTTGCTGTTTCACTGAGCAACTCAGCACTATTGCCCATGAAAGATGATAAAGCATATTTTGATTCAAAAGCACTCTTTTGAGCAGCTAACTAGTTAAGACCACTTCAACCCAGCTCAATTTCTTATTGGGTTTCCCTTGCCTTTATGCGTTCTACAGAAGAAACTGAGATTGGAAATGGAATTTTCCCCAAGGCTTTCACCCTCAGACACAAAAAGAAGCTCGTAATAACAAAGCTGGAGAAGTTCATCAAGACTCTTCCGCTTGTCCCGAACACTTTACCTGTAGTGTGGCTTGGACACCGGCTTTAACATCCTTATCTTCATCTTCTAATATACATCCTCTGTTGACTGCACTAGAGAAGGAGTAGGTTCTTCCCCAGCTTGAAGACCTTTTATGTCCAGAGTGGCCGGATGTAAGCTTTAAAAAAACAAATTAATCAGTATGTGCTGGTATGGTAAGATGGGCCATTTCTTTAAAATCATTAAGACACAATGTTATAAAGGAACATAAAGGAACATTTTGTAAAATGCTCTGGAATCTATCCCAAAGGGCCATGTATAAATATTTTAAAGAAAAATAAAATAAAAAAATCTCATTGTAGGATGAAGGAGAAGAGATTAAAAAGCAGGTTTGGTTAAAACAAAAACGAAAAGCAACTTCCAAATATACTTAGTCTGCTTTTATTATGAGGGACTGGGTATTCAGCATGCATATGGTGCAAGCTCTCCAGAGATCTTTACGATGATTAGAGCAGCATATAAATTAAATAAATAACGATAAACAAACACCATGCGCACCACGTTTGAGCCCGAAGAGGCTAAAAAGTACATAGAGCAAAACAAGACCTTTGTTATATCATTCCACTTGACACATGAAGGAGGTTGGGAGGGTGAATCTCTGGAGCAGGGCCTTCTCTGTGGTGGCACCACGGCTGTGGAATACGCTCCCCAGAGAGGGTTGTCTGGCGTCAACATTATATTCTTTTTGGTGCCAGGCAAAAACCTTTTTATTTGCCCATTATTTTAATTAGGTTTTAACACTGTCATGCTCAGTATTGTACTTTGTTGTGATTTAGTTATTGTTGTAAGCCACCCTGGGATGTCTTGTAAAGGATGAGGTACAAATATGGTTAATAAATAAAATAAATACATATCTTCCTCAGTTGCAGTTAATCGTTGCAGAACTTCAGCATTCTAAGCTTTCCACTGTAATACCTGATGCTTTTTTTAAAAAGTCAGTGGTAGCCAGTATCACTTTTAAAAAGATAGCATAACAGAAAGGACTGAAGACGCTTCTCTTGTGTAGGAAGCAGCAAGTACACAATTAGCAGGAAGTCAAATGGATGTGTTACGACCATTAGCTATTGAACCCCACATAATTACACGCGATAAACCATCCACCCATTTAGTAATTTCGTAACAGCATACATGTTTGCTGTCTATCTCTGTTTCTGACTGATTTATGTCACCATCATCCTGAACCAGTTCCTTCACTTCCGGTTCTTCCATAAATTCAGGTTTCACCTCCAGAATCCACTTCCGGTACACTTCCACCACCTTCTCGGTTGAAGAGATCTCTGAAGAAGGCAGCAAGAAGGCCTGGAACACGAACAGTTGCAGATACATCGTGGGAATGAAATGTACTTGTAAAGACATTAAAGATCATCAGGGATAATTTATAGCACTCCTTGCTGTCAAGAGAAAAGCCTTCCCTCTTCAAAACAAGCATGCAAAGACGTTTGCTTGGCTCCACTGCATCCCGTCCCTTCAGTCTCACAAATATGAAAACAAATAAAGCATAGCCTGGCCCAGCACAAAAGCTCCACCACAAAATCACATCAAGAGAAGCTGAGATGGAGCTGGCTGAAATACGGTTTTTATTGTGAGATAAAGACCAAGATGCAACGTAAAAGCACACAGACTATTTTAAGTGTTTACTCCCCAAAGAGCCTTTATGGAGATGATTTCATATGGCCATATAGGAAGGAGGCTAGAAATTATTATTTCCAGAACAGGCTCCGTGCAAATCAGAATGCAATTCTGTGCATGATTGTCCAAGAGTGGGAAGTACGCCCGGTTTGATCTGAAAATCCCTACTCCTGCCCCAACATCCATCGACCTTTCTATGGGAGTTATCCATGAGCTCCGGATGACTTCAAAAGCTCTCAGATCACTGTAAGGATGAGATACCAAGCCTGCTTCGTAAGGTGTGCTGGGGATTGGCATGGCAAGCTGCTTGCGCTTTACCGGCTCATGGGGTACATGAGCCTGAAGGCCAAGCTAAACGATCATGATTCGTGTATGTTGTGTCAGAAGAGAGACAATACCCACATTCATTAGTTTTCCATTGGCTTTCCTGCATACACTTAATAACCCTGTTCATATCACATATTATTTCTCAAACGCTTCTAAGTTCTTCGTTTTCCCCTGGTGAACCAGACCAAATTATTTCATTCCGCCTCACCTACAATCTAGTCTGTTTTCTTAAAAACTGTGTTTGCAGCACAATTCTAAGGTTTACTCAGAAGCAAAGCTCACTCTATGCCATGAGACTTGCTTCCTTACAATCCAGATAGTAGAATTCTCACAACCCAGCAACTTTGATTTTGATTTTTCATACTGCTGCACAAATATCTTACTGAAACGTTTTAATTGTTCAGATTTCTCTGATCCACTTTCACAAATCTTCAGGGGCAGAGTAACTGGGTTTATTTTAGCCAGTCCTCCTGTGAGGCAGGTTGGGAGGAAAGGAAAGTGGCAAAGCCTAACACCCCCCAGCTGAGACAGTGTAAATTTAAAGCAGGTATCTAAATATCAGGGAGGAGACTAGCTGCTGCAAACACAGGTACCGCATGCATGAGCCGTGTGTTTACCACACTGACCTGACGAAATACTTCATGGACAAAATTGACGTAACCTCGCGTGGACAGAAGTGTCCGCTGAGCCATCTCGTACACTTCCCGGTGCTGCTCTTCAACGCTGCAGAAGCTGGAGTCACTGAGCCGCCGTTCAGGCAATGTGCTATTGTTTGCATGGCTTTTCTCCTGATCCGACGGAGCACCGCTCTCCGATTCTGGGTTTTTATCCTGCACTGAACCACCCACGGTCTTAAGCAAGGCGAGGTGGGTGAGAGAAGAAATTCAGGCTGTAATTGATGAACATACTACACACAAGAAAATACGGTATTCTGATTACAAGCAACAAAGAAGCCACCCTCAGATCAGAAAGGACTGTATTAAGAACTGAACCAAAACGTAGATAAGGAACTTGCTAGCAATATACTTCTGATAAAAGCAATCTACCCTGCTTCCCTCTTTTGTTAAAACCTATGGAAATAAAGGGACAGAGATGTGATCGAACTCAAAGCAGTGCAGCAGTTCCTATCCATAACGTCTCAATCTGCCCCACGATGGCACAGGTGTCTTTTTAACCGTCAGGAGCAGCATTGTACTTGCCTTGGTACGCAATTCTCACAACACAGTACTTTGGAAACTTGTATGGAAAGGGAAAGTCCCCCTTCTTCTGAACAAGGGGCAACAACGAACTGCAAAATTCTCTTCCGGCAATATCTCTTTCTGGTTACTGTGAACCCTGGCTTTGAAACTTGCTTTGAATGAACACACACACACACACACACACACACACACACACAGGCAAAACAAAATGGGCAAAAAGCATGGGTCAGCGTATGGCAAGTAGGGTTTAGAAATCTCTCCTGGAGTGGTCCGGAAACATTATTTCCACACCAAAGGCCCGCACTGCTGCAAAGGTCACACACTGCCATAGGTACAACTGTGTAATCCATCTTCAAGGGCAAGACTTTAAGCAGCTGCTCTTCACTGCAAGATGGATGAACCTGCTACTAAACTCAGGCTTCTTAAAAGGCCTACTTGAAACAACAAGGAGTCTTGCGGCACCTTAAGTCGTAACCAATTTATTCTGGCACCAATTTATTCTTTACCCAAGCTTTTACCGTCACTGTCTGGTTTATAAGACACAGTGGAAGCTTATGCCAGAAGAACCCTGGCGGTTTTTAAGATCCCACAAGACTCTCTTTTTTTCAGCTTCAGTAGACTATCAGGGCTATACTTCTCCCGACCCGTCTGCCTAATTACAGCTGACAGAAATCTCAGAATACACAATATTCTGCAATAAGTGGAACACAGCTTCAAAAGTCATGTGACCTGCTCTTCCCTGCAGTGGAGGGCAGGATGTGTCCCAATAGGGCAAAGCTCAAGGAACCAGGCTTCAGGATGGATGTCAGGAAGTACTTCCTGATGGTTATGACCCTCGGGATATGGAGAGGGCTTCCAAGAAGGTGGTAGAGGCCCCATCAGTGGGGGCGTTCAAGGAAAGATTGGGGGTGCCATGAGTGGAGCCGGGTGTCAGACTAGATGACCCAGGAGACCCCTTCTGACCAGCTTTGTTTCTATGTTTCTAAGTCCATGTGAAAAGGATGGTTTGACCAGGAAAATGTTAGCTTAAAATGTCTTTAGAAATCTCAACACCAATCCCATTTATAACATACCTGAATGATTCGGGGTAGAACCTCGCCTCCATTTTTGGAATTCTGCATTGGTGTAAAGTATTTCTTTTCCAGGAAAAAATTTACAAGCCATTTAATAAAGGCAACACGAGCTTTCATATATGGTATTTTTGTGCTATAAATATTTTCATTGTTGTAGGTTGCACTAACATAGGCTGGTTTCAGTCGCAGGCTGGGGAGATCTGCAAAACAGAAAACAGGAAATCTAATTTTTGAAACCCTGACCTTATGAAGAAGTTCATGTTATAACCTTTGCACACATGGAAACAATTGTCAGCTTTATACATATGAACAGAAGAGATCATTTGTCTTCCCCAGACAAAAGAGTGACAAAAATTAGTGATTATATATCATGAGAATAAGAAAAAGGTTCACAACGTACAGATGGAAAGTGGCTCTCAGTTCCACAACAGCCTTCAAAATATCTAGCATTTGACACAAAACAATTATACACACAAAATGATTTTTAAAAAACCCTTTAGCCTGTACTTCACCATTGTCAAAATTATGTCTATTTAACATTACGCATCGCCAACATAATACAATTCTTACATCTGTCTGGAAGTAAGTTCCACTTGAGTCAGTGGGATCGGCTTCCAAGTAAAGATGAGACTGTGAGGCAAATCCTGACCCCAAACCTACTTTTGTTTTAAAATTGTGTACTAGTTAATTGTTTAAAATCATGTCATCATTACAGCAGTCCTCAAGGCAGGTCAGCTGAAAATCCAGGCAACGACACAGGGGCTGCTGAAGGCTACCTGGTTCTCTGGATCAAGGTGAACATAATCAGAATCAGAGTTTTAAGCTCAAGGCAGGCCGCTTAGAGCTTGACAAGAAGAAAACATGCTCACCGCTGTTCAAAGAGGCATATCTAAAACCTGGTAACGGGGAAGAGAACACTACAGAAAAGCTACTTATCCTGCACATTTTTTGAAACAATTTAAATTACGCGGCTACTTACCAAGCACAGGTTTGTAGAGGTTGGTTACTTTTGCAAAAGAGGGAAATAAATGAGGGAGGTAATACTTTCTGAACAAAGCAAAGAGAAACTTAAACCCAGTATCACGGTTTTCCTTATTCTTCCATTCCAGGCTTGCAGCCTTTGTCAGAATTAAGAGAGAGAGATCACATTAATACTGAAAAATAAGACTTATGAACTTTTTAAAAAATATGTCTTTCATAGCTGACTTTTATACCTCAAAACTGTCAACAGATAAAAACCACCCCAAGCACAAAAATATTAAAGAAGAGGCACTACTTTTCCGATGAAGCTCTGGGGGACACCAATGAAAGCAAGCGTTTCCCTATAATTTTGATATCTGCAGTAGACACACAGATAAGAATTGGCTAATTTTAAAACATTGCACTGACCAGAGAAGACAGGGGAGTGTCTGAAACCCACAGGCCATTTATGCCTTTGACATATAAAGCACACAAATAATGGGAAATGGACAAACACCCCCAGGGAAAAGGATGCAAGAGTACAAGAACGCCTGCATAATTTGCGAGCTGTTTTGAGTGCTTTTGTACCCGCGCAGAAAAAGTAATCCCTACTTTTCCCCTATACCTTGTGAGCAAATAAATGCAAGAGTGTTTATTTAAGATTTTAAACAGGTATGCTTACCTGTATTACCATATATTTTAACACTATCTGAAGAAAGTAGCAAACTGCGTCCTCTACAGCCTTTTCACCGGAGGCCTGTGGTAAGAGCGGGCTTATTTCTTCAGGATAAATCTTGGCTACAATGGAAAACAAACAGAAACAGAGCACAGTCGTGTAAACGCTTGGACTCTGATTGGGCGCATCTTTCCCGTCATGCCAACTCATGCTGAGAGTAAGTCCGGTGGGCTGGCGAAGGGGAGGATAATGGACCGTGCACTGCGATGACGATCAGGCCCACCAGGGGTTGTGCGCACACTTCCTTCCCTCGTTCCCCCCACAGGAATCGCAGGGAGCTCCGTGCAGAACCAGGTTCTCTGCTTCTGCCCAAAAGGACGTTCATGACCGCAGTGAAAGAAGGAAACGGGGGTTCGGCAGCCCAGTGTGGGTGGCAACATGCTAACGGATGGCAAAGAAGAGGCAGAAGGGCTCAATTCTCACTCTGGGGCCGTCTTCTCCAAGAGGAGGGCCTATGACCTTTCCGAAGAAGGAAAGTACAAGCTGAAGGAGCAGGAGGGCGGCTCAAGGAGGTCCCGGATCATCTGATTGGGTTGAATGAGTTCAGATCCCCAGGGCCTGATGAACTCCATCCTGGAGTCATAAAGGAGCTGGCAGAAGAGCTGTCAAAACCACTGAGATCATGGAGGGCAGGCAAAGTGCCAGAGGACGGGAGAAGGGCTAGTGTTGTCCCCATCGTCAAGCAAGGAAAGGGGGCTTTTGTGTTGCTTCAGAATTCCTTTGTTAAAAATCCCCACCCATCTTGGACTCCTTTTCTCATCAGAGTCACCTGCCACGGGACTTTGCCGATCATTGTTTGAGTTTATTAAATGTGGCTTTCCTAAAACCCAGGGCATGTATTTGGCTGCACTTGGCTTTTCCTTCCTTTGGAAGCAACGGTTCGAAATTCAAAAACACCAGGTGACAGATCAACCAAAAACATACCAGGTTATTTTCCTCTTCTAGACACTTGAGACAAAATCTGGAGACTGGAAGAACTAACCGTATGGAAGACTGAGGGGCGGGTTAATTAGGGTATCCAGTGTACATGGACCTTTCGAAGACATCACTGCGGGAAACCCAGGCACGAGGCAAGCAAAGATTAGCAGCTGCTCCTCGGAACAATTTGTCTGGAGAGCTTGCAGCCAGAGAAGGAATAACCGAATCCCTTCACATCTTATCTGAAAAACACACATTTTAAAAGGCCACGGCAAAACAAAATCACACTGAGAAGTGAGAAATAAACCTTGCTGTGATTTCTTACAGCAGGGCTTTATTTTAGCAGCTTTACATGAACACCTGTCCTTACAAGGTATCTCTCCTTCAGTGATTAATTTCATGCATGTCTCTGTATGCTTGAGGAATCTGCTGTGCCCTGTATCAAGCACAATCATGTTCCTTAGAGTCAAAGTTCATCGTGGAAGACCCTAAAAGCCAAGCTAGCATAAAGCTAATGTGGTGGCTTTTATATAAATTTAATAATAAATAAACAAGATGTGGAAGATTAGGAACTTGCCTCTTCTCTCCCATGGGATTCCCTTCTGCAATGGCTAATTCAACCCATACTTTGGAAGTTAGTTCTAATTAGACTTGGCCTTATTTAGGCATCAAACCAAACTATCGTTGGCACAACTCAGACTAGCTGGGCAGGAGAAGGGAGGAAGCAGGTCTGCGGCAAGTGTCCGACCCCTCAAAATATGCTTGGGATGAAGGGTCATCCAAACGGATCACGTGAAAACCTACGGACCACTTGAATCTCGTGGATTAGAAAGCTCAGATGGATCTTCTATGCAAGTTCAGCCTACGCTCTATTGTCCCACAACCTGAGTTGCAAAACAATACTCCCAAGCACCCAGGTGTGAAGCCAGGTGACTGTTATTTAAATGAATTAAGGCTTTTGGGTGCTTCTGCGTAATTTGCAGGCACTCTGGACAAAATGAGGTTTCCTTGCTTGCACCTTTCAGTGTGCAGTACGAGCATTCACTGTGCGAGGGAGCATTCACAACCAATATCTATGAAATTGCTGCTACAGGGTTGGCTTTTTTAGCAGCCCTGCCACTTCAAAAAGTAACAGAAGAACCAGGCCAAAAGCACGAGGTCCGGGGGAAATCAACGTCCTTGCCTGCCCCGAATGGTCTACATGATCCCACACCAGGGTAAGCAAAGGGTTAGGAAAGTGTAAAGATCTGTCTGGGAGGCAGACAGCACTTGGGACGATACTGCCCAGGTCTCAGAGTTATGGGGCTTGGGGTGGAGCGTGAACCAAAGGTTCCCCCATCTCTTTGTACAGGCATTGCTCAGCTTTTGATCTGTACCAATGAGCCCTTTGAATCCAAGGTCATACTATGCAAAATTGATGTTTCCCTGAAACGTGACACAAATCACAGCTGATGGCAGTTCTAAATATACTTAAGTGCACCGACTTGCCTTCTCTGGCAGGGAAAGCTAAGAAAAGCCTTTTTGAGGATCTATTTTTACAAAAGCTTTTTTCTCCCTTTAAAGAAGTTTGTTATCAGTATTTTTACTTAGAGATGGAATCTGGCAATAATCAGTGCCACCACATCTGCCAAAACGTAGTTTACTGACAGTCCATTTTTTGCATCCTTGGGATGCACTTGAAGAACATAAATATATTTTTTTAGGAAATTGTATGCTGTCCAATTACTAACGTCTCTGGACGGCTTACAGCATTAATAAATTAATTAATAGATATAGGCAACCGACTGCTTATACCTGGAGGGGAAAACTGCAGTGAGTTTTCCAGAGTGCTCTGAACTGGACAGCAAAACTGTTTGCACAATTATCTATTATGGGACAGGAGGAGGAAGACTTTGCAACTGCTGGGAAACTAGCTTTGCTACAGCAACTGAACAGTTCCTCATTTGCCTCGGGCCCCGTTACCCTTGGAAGAACTCATAATTCCAAGCATTATTCCAGCTCAAAAGGGAAGAGGATAGAAACCAGTGGAATGCTTGAGCCAAATAATAAAATAATCGAACATTGATACCGAGTGTCTGGCACAGAGCAGTTCATTGCCTGAACGATGCAAAGGAGGACAAGCAGAGGGCCTCCAACCCGAAAGACGAGGAAAGCGGAAACATGCATTGTGCTTATTGAACTCAGAGCTCAAAACCAGAGACCAACACAATTAATTGTAAGTTTGTGTTTGTGGAATACAAATACTGTATGTTACTTCTAAGACTGGGATTTTTTTTCACATTACCAGTGGGTTTTGTTTTTGTTTTTTTTTTGGGGGGGGTGCGGCGGGGTAGGACCTGCTTAGACTTACGAAGTCTGCATCTTATGGTAGGGAGAGGGGAGCGCTAGAGAGACTAGCAAAAATTCAGTTTGGCCAAAGGACTCAAGTTACTCAAGCCATGGAGCTGAGTCCAGACAGTTCCCAGGGTTTCGTTAGCTGGAAAATCACCGGTCCTCAGTGTCACTTAGGAAGTTGCACACTGAGCCATCCCTGATTTCCAAACGAAGCTAAGCAAGTTATGTGTTAAAGAAGAAGCAGGAAAACATCCCGTTGATTTGCAACTAACTCTTACTGGGACAAATTGCCTATTATCTTCTCTAGCCTATTCTACAACAGGTACAATAGCTTAAAACATTCTCATTCAGTTGCAGGCCTATGCAAATCTGATGGCATCAGTACAGTGGCACCTCGGCTCACGAACTTAATCCGACCCGGGACTCTGGTCGTGATGCAGATTGGCCAAGAGCCACGTCAAATTTCCCCATAAGGGTCAATGTAAATAAGGTTAATCCGTTCTGCAGCTGCTTTTAGCGCGGGGGGTGGTTAGGGTTAGAGGCAGGCGCAGGTGCGCTCGGGCAGGGAACACGGGTGCCATCGCGGCCATCTCCCCCCTCCCCCGCCCAGCACGACTGCGATGGCGCCCATGCAGAGAAGGCGGGAGAACTCATGCTCATCACCCGATGCAGAGTTTGTGACCTGAGGCAAGATTTTTCATGAAATTTCTGCTCGTGACCCGATTTGGTCGTGAACTGAGGCGTTTGTGAGCCGAGGTGCCACTGTATTACTGTTAACTTTTTGATTTAGTCACAGAGAGTCACAAGTTTGCTATTTCTAGATTAACTGTGCTTTGGTTCTAAGAATGTTCTACCTCAGGGCATGCTTCGGGCAGACGGAAAGGTATAGTGCTGAGATTGTTGGCACTATTTGACTCAGCTGATGCGACAGAAATGGAAAGAGTTTGCAGTCCAGCTCCTGGGCAGGAAAAGGTAGTTGTCGGTGTGGCACAGGGAAAACCTTCGCAGCAGGGGTGCCTCAAGACCGGGAAGGGAGGCAAGGCTAGGCTACACCTAGAATAACTATAAAACCCAAAGGCCGTGGCGAGGACCAATGTGCCACGGTAGGACTGAATTTCATGTGATGGGCTTTAATCTTACACCTAACTGAACTACGCAGCCGATTCCTTGGCCACAGGCTTCCAGGAGGAAAATGTCCCGTGTGTATTCAGAGAAGCGGTGCCTTGAAAGCAAGAGATCGAATACCTTAAGACTGTTCCCGGTGTGCAAAAGTTTCTTCAGAACTGACCCTGCAAGGAAGGAAAATGCATTAGGACAGTTCCAAAGTTTTCATACGCCCAGTGCTGCGCTCATCAGTGCCAGGCCTGTGTATTTTACGCAGTCCACTGTATTTTATGCTGTTTTAGCATCTGTAAGCACCCAAAGAAACTTCGGCTTATGCGGTGGCATAGAAATGGAATGAAATACACACATACATACAACAGCCAAAACTGATATGTTTATAATATAAGCTAGGGCAGCCAAAGCATCAACCCTCCCCTGGACAAGACAGTGTCAAACTGCATGTGAGGACTCATTTGATGAACCAGGAAAGGCAGAGGAAGTGCTGACCAGGAGACTGGGAGCAGTAGTGGGATGGATTTATTTTATTTTATGGATTGGCTTGGCTTAAATGCTCGTTAGCTTCATGCTCTCTGGGGGCCATTACAATAAAAATCAATAAAACATTGATTAAGTGGTATAATTAAAATATCACAATAAACATAATAAAATCATAATAAAATAAAAAATGAAATACATTAATATAATTAAAACACATGCACTGATGTAAATAGTCTAGATAGGGCCAAGGTGCGTCGGCAAAGGGAAATCTTTGCCAGGTGCCTGAAACTTAGAAAGTTAGAAACTTAGGGGTGCCACCACTGAAAAGACTCTCCCTCTTACCCTCCTTGGGGAGAGGAACTTGTCTGAGGGCCCCACTTAAAGATCTGAGACAACAGGCAGGAACGCGGGGAGCAAGGCCCCCCCGAGGATAATGTGGTCCCGAGCCATTTAGGGTGTGGTATGTCCTATGGATGACGGCCACTGGAACCACTGAAGCTCGGTCCTGACGGGGCAGGGGGCTGTTGCTGGGGGATGCATCAGCCCACCAAGGCGCTGCTCTGAAAGAACCAGGCGCGCCGTCTGAGACTGTTACCGGCACCTCGAAGCTCAAGTAGCTGAGGTGACAAGAGGGACTTTCCAAAACGGCAGCTCCTGCGAAATCCAACTCTTTCCCTTAGAAGAGGCAGGCAGGCAAACACAGCCCTACTTGTTCATCAGATAAACTTAAACGCAAGATGGCTAAAGCCGCACCTGCAGACACACTTACCTATGCTATGAAACTGCCATCGGAAGAAGATTCTTTCTGGTAGTAATTGTAATATTCTCTGGAAGAACCAAGATAAATCATGTTTTTATATCAGGTTTACAGGAAGCGGCTTCTTGACATCTACGTTACATCACTAACTGTGTCATACTGTGCAAGTTCATGCAAAAACAACCTAGCCCGTCCTACAGTTCGTTCGTTCGTTAGTTTATTTATTTAGAGAACTTCTATGCCGCCCCATTTGCCGAAGCCTCGGGATGGCTCACAATCATAAATAAATAACGTAATATAAAACAATATAATTTAACAGTATAACAGTAAAATTTAAGTCGCCCTGGCCAAAGAATAAAATAAATAAATAATATTAACAATGAAAATAAGTTTTAAATAAAAAGGTCTTGGCGTGGCGCCGAAAAACATAACGACGGCGCCAGGCGGACCTCTCTGGGGAGCGCATTCCATAGATTGGGTGCCACCTCAGAGAAGGCCCTCCTCCAGGTACTTGCCCTCCTAATATCCTTCACGGAGGGTTCCCGGAGAAGGGCCTCTCCCGCTGATCTCAAGGGGTGGGCGGGCAGGCAAGCATATATGGACATAAGCACTCCTTCAGGTAACCAGGACCCAAGCCGTTTAGGGCTTTATAGGTCATCACCAACACCTTGAATTGGGCCTGGACTTCAATGGGAAGCCAGTGAAGCTGACGGAGGACTGGAGTCATGTGAACATAACGCCCAGTCCCCGTCAGCAGCCTGGCAGCTCTATTCTGAACCAATTGAAGTATCCGGACCATCTTCAAGGGCAGCCCCATGTAGAGCCTGTTACAGAAGTCAAGTTCCCAGAATGCCCTTAACTGAACAGGAGGGATTCCTGTACTCCTTGTGAAGGCAATGTACAGCATCGGCACCTTGGAACCTGCTAAACTTTGGTTGTAAGTGCCCTGCCTCACAGCAGTGGCCCAACCGTGGCTTCCAATGTCCACATGTATGAACCTCTACAGACATGCAAATGCAGTGAAAAATGAGGTGAAACAGACCCATTTCTGCACATTCAAATTTGTGCTGTCAGTGGCTGTCAAAACTGGAATGATGAAATTCCTATTTTTGCCAGGAGAGAGGTCAGTTGCCTGAGCTCAAACAACACAACAGCACTTGGTGGGTACAACAGCCCTACACAACCCATGGGTTGTCACAGTGGCTTGTTGCCCTCAAGGAATCAGGCTGGGCTTGCAGAACATTATGAGTCGCAAATATCTTCAACTTTGACTTCTAGCTATGCAAGAAATAAATGTTCTACGTTTTGCCATTTCTTGGAGGTTGAATGCCCCACCCAAACTGTAATGTATTCCTGAGAAAGGAGCAAATATGCATTCAGTTTTGAAAGTGAAAAGATTTCCACAGTTAATAGCCCTGGGAATCCTAGAGAAATTTCTGTAATTTATCTTGTGCAAGTTAAAAGCAATCACATATTGAGCCTATTATCAGAAGGAAGGCCTGAATGTGATTTCTCCATACCCCAAACCGATGAGGAACATAAATAACTTTAATCAAGTTTATCTAACAAGAGCGTATTATTTGTTCCAGTCTAAATATAGACCAGAGTGAACTCGAAATAGCTACTGACATTTTGTTTAGGTTTTCAAAGAGAATAAACATAAAATAACTTGAGAAACCCCATAGTGCAGAATATTCCTTTTTCTGCTGTTTGACATTTATATGGAAATCCATTAGCACACTTGAAATATAAATTAGGTATTATATCAACTAGCACATCAGGAGACCTGTCAGATGTTTTATCCCTAGCTTTTTTCCCTCCAGACAACTGCATGACTAAGAATAATTTGAAGCATAAACTTTGACTTAAGGCTGCTCTATTTTTTAATAAGCAAGTATGTTTAAAAACGCATTTCCCCCACTTTTTGCTCACACATCAAAATTGAACATATTCTTACCTGACTATATTGCTTTTATTTTACAGATAATCTAGGAGCATCTCAACCGCTTATGATAATAACCTCAGTTTCTGCCAACGCTTATGATAATAACCTCAGTTTCTTCCCATCCTGCCAACGTTCAACATTCTTTGCTATTACCCTGACCTGGATTAAAATAAGCCCAGATATATTCTTGACTTGGTTTGGAAATCCATTCTAATCAGGGCACCCAAAATTAATTTAGGAGTCTACCTGAGTCGAGGATGATTATATGGAATACCTAACCTGGCTATGGGATGCCCGAAAACTGTATATCTCCAACGGTCCTAAATTGATCAGGAACTCCTGAACTATTTGTACCCACTAGTCAATTATACTAACGAGCATAATATTTTAAATGCATTTAAAATAGAATCACCCTGCCCTTCAATTAATAAAAATGTCCAAGGCAGATTGCAATGGAATACAAATCATAGCAAAATGATTTCACACAAATACTGCTAAATAGCGAAGCAGATGTAAACATCCGTGGGGGGAAGACGGTTTGTAAAACAGGCCAGTCCAGCTAAAAAGCCCTTTTCATGATTATTACTTGTTCAGTCTCAAAGATTAGGGGCTGGAGCATCTTTGGATGATCATCTTGGTCACTGAGCGTGGAAAAGACCTTTGAGGCGGAGTGATGCTCTCCTGCGCAAGCAGCAGCGCCGGGGACATGGAGACGCTGAGGCTGGAAGGGGGAATCTGGAAGCCTTAAGCCCCACAGCCCCATTATCCTCTGAGAATGATCTGCGCCTCCAACTCCTGAGTGGGGAGTTGCAAGAAATGAGGGCGACGTGAACACATCCCCTTCCTGAAGTCCCCGGGACCTTCTTCCCCGCTTCTCATCCGTGCCTGCCCCCGTCTTTCCAGGGTCTGTGGCATCTCCTCCCTTGCTGCAACTAAAGGACAGGTGCAGGATCTGGCCTTTGGACAAGTATTTTTAATGCAAAGAGAAGCATTCTCCGTAGTCGATGCTAATTTGTGAAAGCTTATTAATTACCAGATGTTATCAACGCAGTAGCAATTATTGTACCTTTTGGAACACTTATGTAAATCATTTTCCAAAATGTCTTACCAATGTGGACTGGAGTTAAATTCGGACTCCATGAACCAAGCATTAATATTCTTAATTAACTGTTTAATTAAAACAAATCACAATGAAAGCCTTTCTTCTTACTGACACAGGATGATATATGCCAGACAACCAATTAATGTAATCTCCTACGGTTTGCAAACACAAGTCTTTAATCCTAATGACATTTACACTTTCTCCACCCTGTGTTTGCTCTAAAGGACCCCTCAGTAAGGTTTATAAGAGCTCCTTTTCCACGAACTGTATCTAGAGAGGCCCCATCATGAGTCCTGTGTCCAGTTCTGCTCATCATTCTTGAAGACAGGGGCAGACAAGCTGGAACAGGTTCAGAGGAGGGCGACAGGGATGAACAGGGACTGGCAGCAAAGCCCTGTGAGGAGAGATGGAAAGAACTGGGCAGGTTTAGCCTGGAGAAGGGAAGAAACAGGCACTCTGCAAGTATGTGAGAGGCTGCCACAAAGAGGGGGGCCAGGATCTCCAGAGCGCAGGACATGGAATGACAGGTTCAGGGTGCAGGAAGCCAGACTGTGGCTGGACATCAGGAAGAACTTCCAGGCTGTTCAACTAGTACAGCAATGGGTCCCATGACCGAGGGAGGCGGTGGGCTCTCCCACACTGGGGGCACTCCAGATGCAACCGGGCAGCCACCTGAGAGGGATGGTTTATCCGGGATCCTGCCCTCCGGCCCCTTCCAACTCTTCTGTGGTTCCAAGAGTAGCTGCCCCTTCTCTGGTGAAACGGGTCTCGTTTATCCCATTATATAGCACCCAACAGCTGAGACTCTCTGGGTGGTTAACACAAGTTAAAATTAAAGAAAAGACACACACAGACACACTCTGCCAAAAAGTTTTAAAGCCAAAAGCAATATAACCTAAGGAAATTCTATATATCTAGAATTAGGCATCGCAGACTCTTTGAAGGCAGAGAAAACAAGAGAAAGCTTGTCCTTTTATTTTCATGCATAATACTCCCTATACCTTATTTTAAACAGCTATCACATAAGAACAACAAATATTAAAAGCATCAATGTAGTAACTTTACTAAAAGCAATAGCCATTATAAAGCAAAATCAGAGAGATATTTGGGAATGAACACAAAGCCAGGCTGCGGAGGTGCTTGGGGTTCACCCACACAGCTGCCTCCAGGTAGGTCTGGAGAAGGTGTGAGAAAGGCCCCCCTGTAAGTCGTAGGGTTGGGGCTAGGGCTGTGGGGGGGGGCATCTTGGGTCAGGCAGCCCCCGTCTCCATCTCCCACTCCCAGGAAAACTGCTGCAGGCTTGCTAAGACCGAACATTCCCTGAAGCATTCGCTTACGAATCGGATGTGGGAAGGCAAGGTCCACCTACTGCTATTTAGAACAGTTCAGAGTATTCACACATCAATCTCATTTTATTGTTTGCAGGGAAAGATCTTTGTCGCAACAGTGTGTAAGCTGTTCATCATCACTGCCATACCGGAATCATAATGTTGAGCAAATATAATAACTCACTTCAAAAAGAAAGAGAACGGAGTCCACATCTTCCCTCTGAGATTTATTCCCTGTGGGGAAAAAAGAAGGTTACCTTTCACCGCGCATAAAGGCAATAAATCAATCGGACAGGAGAATCCCGTAAGACGGGCAGCTTTCAGGTTAAGTGCCGTCATGAATAAGGCTATCCGCACAACTCCGTAATGCAGCTTGGAAATTCACGGGCGTATCTAGTCTACGAGTCGGGCAGGAAGGGACCTTAATGTACTGTCACAAAGCAGTCGGGATAAATCCGGAATGCAACCGTTTTCACTGTTTGCTTTAACTTAAGAGCCTGAGGTGTGTCTTAAGGACAGGGGCTTGGTCCTTAAGCAGGTGGGAGAACAAGAAACTTGCGAGGGTGACTCTCCCAGTGTGAAGTCTTGCGGTAGCTGAGCACTCGAGCCATGGAAGGGGCGGATCATGGCCGTGTGTGGCTGGCAAGGATGCATCGCTAAAGCTGCAGAGAGCTTGTTCATCAGCCCCGCCAGCCACCTCCGCCAGGTCCGTGTAGAAGGACAAGCCACGGCGCCCCCCCGCCGCGGATCTTCAAAGCCGTGGCCGCCACTGTGGCAGGAAGTCCCACAAAGAAGGGCAGCTGCGGAGTCTTCTCGCTACGGGCAGACCAGGCTGGGAAAGAGGAAGTGCCTCCTTCGGGAAATCTGGGTTTGAAGGTGGGTAGAAGAAGAAGGGGATGTGGAGAGGTGCAGTGCCTTATACTTCCACGGAGTTGTAAAGGCAGAGTCACTCATTGGGCCATTTCAGTGGTAACACCAAACTTTGAGCTTCTCTGCTCCCTTGATCCGCTTTCACACCTCAGAGATGGAAACTGGAAGGCGCTGCTTCCAACCATGAATTCTCATTCACATCCCAAGTTGGCGAACTCCAGTTTAACCAGGCAGTTCTTGCCCTGTATGAACCAGCTAGCATTTACTAATTACATTTATATACTGCCCAAAGTCCACTGGGCTCCCTGGGTGGTTTACAATTTTAAAATAAGTTAACAACCAATACAATAAAAACAGTAAAACCAACAAAGATCCTAGAATAAATACAAATAAGTGCAATAGGTACACATTAGAATAAAAATCTGCCCATGGCGTAGCAGCACTTATAATAAAAACAAGACTAAAACAAGCCTTATCTGTTAAAATATTTGTCAAATAAAAAGGTTTTTTCTTGGAGTTGGCGTGGGGGACCAAGGGTGGCACCAGGCACACCTCCTTGGGGAACAAGGAGAAAGCCAGTGTGGCGTCATGGTGAAGAGCACGGGACTGGGACTCAGAGGATCCGGCTTCGAGTCCCCGCTCAGCCATGGAGCCAACTGGGTGACTTTGGGCCAGTCACAGACTCTCAGCCCAGCCTACCTCACAGGGCTGTTGTTGTGGGGAAAAGATGAAGGAGGAGAATGATGTAAGCTGCCTTGAGCCCTTTGTAGGAAAAAGGCAGGATATAAATCAAATAAATAAATAAATAAATAAATAAAACAAGTTCCAAAGGCAGGAAGCTGCTACCAAAAAGCCCTTCTCTTAGTTATCAACCCCCTTACTTATTTAGTAAGATTTCCCCCAATTTGGATGTAGCAGGGAACTTAAACTCAGAAGTGGATCCTCCGGGTCTCATCTCGTACAAGAAAATGATGGAGAGAAAAGAGTGCAAAGGCCCAATGCTCATTTTTGTTTGTGCCCGTAACGCACTATGTCCAGGTGAAAGATCCTCTCTCTGCTGTCATTCGACTTTATATTTACCCGGTCAATGTGACGGCAGCCAAGATCAGCCAACCCAGTAGCAGTTTCTATTTTGGGGGTCTCCCTGATTTTATTCTGGCGAAAATGTTCTGACTGGAGGGCGTTGGGGGCAGCGATAAATGCTCAGTACAGAATTACTCCCCTGGCCCAGCATTTCCACCCACAGTGCTTTGACAGGCTAAATTTTATTTATTTTCCGATTTATATCCTGCCTTTTTCCTGCAAAGGGCTCAAGGCAGCTTACATCATTCTCCTCCTCCATCTTATCCCCACAACAACAACCCTGTGAGGCAGGCTGGGCTGAGAGTCTGTGACTGGCCCAGAGTCACCCAGTGGGCTCCATGGCCGAGCGGGGACTCGAACCCGGATCCCCTGAGTCCCAGTCCCGTGCTCTGAGGAAGTCCAACAGGAGAGGATGCTTCCCCGCCTTTCCTCCTGAATTTATATCCCCACCGATTTGCTCTGTTCCATTATGTCTCTGGTTTGACCACTGCAGAACCGTTGCTGTTTACCATTCAGGACTCGCTGATTGACAAATTCCATACCGGCCCCATCTAAACGACTGGCGGGATTTATGCCCTTAAGCCTTAGGGATGGGTTGTTCCAAACAAGCCACTCTCCTGTTGGACTTCCTCAGGAAATGGTTTGAAAGATGGTTCTGCATCCTCAGTCAAACTGACCCAGTGAATGACTCTGCCTTGCAACTGCTGGTCATGAAGCTACACAGAAGGAGACTTGTTGTTGTTAGTCGTGAAGTCGTGTCCGACCCATTGCAACCCCATAGATAACATTCCTCCAGGCCTTCCTGTCCTCCACCATCCCCCAGAGTCCACTCAAGCTCACACCCACTGCCCCAGTGACTCCATCTAACCACCTCATCCTCTGCCACCCCCTTCTTCTTTCGCCATCTATTGTTCCCAGCATCAGGCTCTTCTCCAGGGAGTCCTTCCTTCTCATTAGGTGGCCAAAGTATTTGAGTTCCATCTTCAGGATCTCGCCTTCTAAAGAGCAGTCAGGGTTGATCTCCTCTAGGACTGACTGGTTTGATCGCCTTGTGAAGAAGGAGACTACCATTCACTACCATTCACTTACATCTAGATTAGTGGCCAAGACTGGGGTATGAGGCTAAGAACAGGGCCAGCTAAGGCTTTGCCCTTTTCAACTGCAAAGTCTCTTGCAAGGACCAGAAATTCTACCTTGTCATCTTTCAAAAAATAAAAGACTAACATGATTAAGATGGAACACACCTTTGTACAACCCAAAATGTTGCTACGTACCTAACCACCTCTTAACATAACTTCCACCTCTTAACATTACCTCATCCAAGCATCACTCTATTCTCTTTTTGCAAGAGGCTAACATCAATGGAAAAAGATGTGTTTCACAGTGGAATGTATTACTGTACACCAAAAATTTCCCAGGCTTGGATGATGTAGCAGGTACATAATTTGAACCACTCGCTAAGAGTTACGAAGCCAATTTCTGAGGAGGAATGTCAACAAAACTTCCTAAATGGGCAAGTAGAACCACATTGCTGGCATTTCTGTTGTTCAAATTCACCGCATTTTCCCAAGTTGTAACTACTGATTATCAAAAATATTTGAAAACTGCTAAGCAACTGATTTTTGAACACAGAAAAAGTATATATTCTATTAAGCAGCTGAATTTCATGAAGTATCAAAAAAACCCACCCACCTAAGAATGCTTACCTTTTTGTTTCAAGTTAGTTTCCAATATTATGAAATTTTCATAGAAGATAAAATAAATTTGAGAATAGTTATTCTCAAAAAACTGTTTAAGTTCACTTCCATCCACAGCATCTGTAAAAACAATTAAAGCAGGAATTATTATTAACAGGCATCAGTAGCATACATACTTAGCATCAAAAGCTCTACAAGAGGAATAGGAAACTTGGCTCTCTACGAATGTTGCCGGAATACAACTCCCATCAGCCCCAGCCAGCATAGCCAATGATGAAGTCGCAGTTCATCAACATCTGGAGGCCCATCCCTGCTCTACAACCAACAAAGGAGCAGAAAAAGTATACTGGAAATAGAAACACTAAGAATAGCGATTGCCGGTTTTGGCTACATGGTCCAGAAGTCTCCAAGTGTTCAGACTGCTTGGAATTTCATCACGCCCAACCAATTCACAATTGCCATTACTTTGCTAAAGACACAGGGCCCATTTTCCAGCCTTTTCGTCAAATAATTTTACTAAATATTTTTCTAAGGAATAATTCCAGATCCTGTTATCCAACTTTGCCCACTATTCTGTTATTGACAGACGAGATGGTTTGTTCCTTGCAAGCCAGCCGCACAACTTCCTCAAGGTGAGTATTTGGCAAAGCTTGGTTGCCTCTGATGGATCTCCTGGGGGCAACCATGTACCAAACTTCAGAGGTGGTGCAAGTCCCATTGGTGAGAGTGTTAAGGATAGGCTGGACATGCACATGTCATGAGCAGAGACGGCTGGAGCCGGAGGTCAGACTAGATGGCTCAGGAGGATCCTTCTGACTCACTCTGTTTTTATGTCTCTAAACTTCTTATAAACTGTAAAAGAACGAGATTGTTTGCTTCAGTTTTCTTCCTTCAAAATCAACTGGCACATAAATGCAATCAGGCAGGCAAAGATTTATAAACCAGTCACTTTTTTGGACTTATTTTCAAGGAAGCGTACTCTCACATTAAGGTGGCCATCCAGACAATCAGAAGCTTGGATAAACAGAAATGGAATCCATTCAGAACACAGCTAAATGTTCCTACAGATTTAGAGCACTGTATTTATGCTCTTCACAATGCCTTCACTTTGGCAGAACGATTAGTACCCTAAATTGCAACGTATTTTCTCTTCATGCACATTACCGTGTTCCTTTTCTTCTCCCCTTGTAGTACATCATGGATTGGGTCGTACCTGGTTGTCTACGTAGCAAAGATATGCAGGTGAGCTCTGCCTCATTGACCTTTTAGGCCTTCTTATGACTACAAGGTCTGAAGTCCAAACAATTTCCATTTCCCATGAAACAATCCCTCCCTATTTTGGCTCATTTTAAATTAGACATCCTCCGGCACGGAGATCCAAGGTGTCATGGCAAACAAATTCCAGGCTTAGGAGATAATGCATATTTTTCTAGAAGTCTCTCAGTGCCGTTTTAGCTTGGGGCCAAACACCACTTAGCCTCAAAGAACTGGTGCTGTCAAAAGTTTTCAAAGAATTTAGGGTGGGGAAAGGATTCCCCATATTGGCCTTTTCTGCCATGCCTGTGCACTCCACTTCTCTACTCAGGGGGACAACCAGGTTTACTGTAGGCTTCAGGGCCACATGCAGGGCTTCTCTGATCACCTAGCTTTGCTTGGGGTTTCTAGACCACCGGTGTATGCCAGGAGGAAGTGAGCACTTGCGTGAACTGGGTCAGCTCCCAGCCTTTCCTAGCTTCCTCCCCTTGGGAATAGTTGCCACTGAAACAACTTCAGGATACTGGAATAATAACCAATGCCAACAGCCAGCTGTTTATTGCTTCTAAACCATCGAAGCACATAAAGCAAGTTACATTTTATAAGAAGCCACACAAGTGACACTGAAGTTATAAATACAGTTGTTCTGTAATAACTCACACGCACAGCTAAATTCCCACCTTTCAAATGTTCCAAATCACAGGAAAAAACTAACTGTCTCCAGGTACACTGGAGTGACTGTCAAAACCTTAACCCACTGAATACTGTTTAACAATCCAAAACTAAGCCTTTGAAACAACAATTAATACAGTATTCAGATGTGCATTTGTCTGAATAAAAGCCAGTCAGGGCAAAGATCTCACTTGGAATTTCTTGTCTTTTTTGGGAGCAGCAAAAGGTTCCAGATTAGTAACCTATGTGGTATGGATTCAAAAAACTCGCTTAAGTCTAAAAGTCAGCTTGAAAATAAGCAGCCGACGGAGACAAAAATCCACAAAGAACAGCATAAGCACAATGGAAGAGCTTCTTTTTCATCAGATAATTGGTGAAATTTAGAGAATAACCAGGAAGTTTGGAGAGGGAAACACTAACTTCCCTTTATATAAGCTCTGCCTGGAGGATGCCATCGAAAACTGTGAAGAATTACAGGAAGCTTGAGGTCAGTAATAGGAGTCTGGCTTATCCAGGACAAATAACAGATCTAATTGTTAATATACAAGAGTCTGAAGAGCAAGCAAGGTGAACTGGAAGTCATTGCTAACTATGGGAAGCCTTCCAAGGCCCCGGTGCCAGAAAGACACACACCTCCATTTTGCCTACGGTATTCTGCTTTAATTCAGCTTTGCAGCAAGAACTAGGGCGATGCGGGGCAAGAGGAGAATAGAGAAATCCCAAGGATGAGCAAAAGTAGCAAGGCAGGAATAGCTGCTCCCAATTTGCACAAAACACGGCAGTCTCTTCTGACCATTGGAAGACCTGCTAATACACTCAATGTTCGCAGAAGAGACTGAATAATTCATAACTCTTAATATAAACAGGCAGATGGCACATTCTCTGGTTTAATATATGACTCAAAGCGAACTAATGGAAGAGGTCTCCAAGCTCCTACTTGCATTTAGCTGCAGCACAGAAAGAAGCCTTGATCGGAAGCCACGCCGTCCAGGCCAAGGAGAAATCAGTCCCACACACTGGACATCTATTTCCAATAGGTCGGACTTTGGTGCACCAACACCTCCCAGCCAAAGCTCCCACTCTGTGCCCGCCGACGCATCCTCCACAGGAACAGTGTCTCCAACTAGTTGCTCTCAATCAGAAACTTGACATGGAACCAATAAAGAATGCAGAATGAAGCTGAAGGTGCTAAACTATTGATTGATTGATTATTTATTTAAAACGTTTGTATGCCGTCCCATATGGCTAGGCATCTCAGGATGGCTATATCAACTTTCTTTGAGCTTTACAGCCTAAAAACTGAGTGCCCTTTTTGCCATGGACATTTTTTTTTGTCATATATAAACAAGTACCATGCGCTCCTGTCTTTACGTTTTGCAACTATTTCAATAAAATGTTTTCTATGTAAAGTTTTGAATGCATCTGAATACAACATGGAAAATATACTACATGGTTAATTGAATCCACCCCCCACACACAAATAGAGCCATTCTAATCATTTGTAACTTTGCGAAAACTTTTGGTACATTTATATGGCACTTGAAATTGACATGAATCGCATTTTTAGTTCCATTAACTAAACAAGAGGTATTTAGTTGAAGGAACATGTGTGTTGGGGAGTAAAAATGAGTTAAGCATATTAAATCAGATAAGATCATTTGGAGCAGTTCTACTTTACTGGAAAACCCACATCAGTGTCTGGAAGCCTTCTTGTATGGCCAACTGGCCAATGGAAGAAGGAAAAACATGCCTAAATTTCTCCCATTGAAACCAACAGGATTAATGTTGCAAACACAATGGAAAGTAAGTCTCAGTGAGCAGTATGGGACACAGCTGTTCACACTGCTAAAATGCTTAGTTTTGGCTGTATCATGCCCAGTGTGAAGTTGTTTATATAGGAAGTGAATTTACAATTTAGGTCACTAAAAACCAATTTCCATTACCAAATACTTTCTTTTTAAAAATGTACTTCATGTATGTGTCCACACGTGCTCCAAATTAGAGAGAGCAAAAATGGTTTTATGAACATGTTAGAAGCAAAAGAACTGATGAATTTAAGTAAGACTGGCAGCTGACAGTTTCCTCTTTTGTCAAACATTTTGCTAAAAACCGGGCATATAAACCAGTTAACTCAGTAAAGGAACCAGTTAGACAGGTTTGGCAGTTTTTTCTCCCCCAAGAACCTTGCTGGCTACTGAAAATACATTTTCGTCCATTTGTCTAAAAATATTGTATAACATTTGTAGACGAATGGCCCAACCTATGATTAAAGAAGGCCAAAATCTATGCATATTTCAGCAGAAAAAAGTCCTGGAAAATGTTGAAACTTGTAGGAGTTTTGTTCTGTCTAAACCCTACCAAACTCTTTCACAGTTAATAAAGAATATGTTTCATGCCTTTTCTTAAAAATAAAGCTTTACAAAGCAAATGTCGGGTTTACTACAAGCTTGGAGATATAAAGGGAATCTATTCCACAGTTGTACCACTTAAATAAACCAACCTTCTTTCTCCCCAAAGTTTAATGAGCCCACCAAATAAATCAGAAGCACTGACTGACTTCCACTGTTTACCTGCATTTTGTATTCTGAACACAGATTCTATTCTGCTTGAGAGACATGAGTCTGTTCATCTCTATTGCCCAAACTTTATAACGGAGACACAACTGCTCTAAATTAGAATTGGTGCCACTGATTCTTTCACTGGCAAATATTTATTTTTAGCGCATCCATAAGAACAACCTGGCCTATGTTAGCGTTTCTGCATGCGACCGTCCTGGGGTGCCCCTGCTCAGAAGAGGGTAAACCCCATTGTAGAGAATCATGAAGACGCAGGTACGACACGCCTGAACGATGGAATTGTCCTGGATGCAAAGACAGCAGTACGTAGTGATGGCAAAAGGACAAAACAAAGCTAATAAATCAGAGAGAGCAACAGTGGGCAAACTCCTATCTATTTCTTTATATTTAAGGCTTTTCTACCCCATCACTTATTCAAAAGAATCTCAAGACGGTTTGCAGAAGTTAAGAACAACCAGACTGTTAAAAACAACAAAACAATTTAAAGAAAACCCACAGTGCCAGTACTTGGTATGAAATGCAGTAGTTAAAAATACTATCTAACAATTAAAAAGCAGGGCAAATAGAAAGGTTGTGGCCTGGTGCTGGAAGGAATAAAGCTCTGGGAACAGACACACACCTCTGGGGAGCAAATTCCTTAACTGTGGGGCTAAAGCAGAAAAGGCCCTTCTCCTCCTAGCGGCCCTCCTAACCTCTTTTTTGGGGCCTCTCAGAGAAGGCCCTCTGCAGGTGATCTGAAGGTCTGGGCATGTTCACATGGAAACAAACCTTCCTTTAGATATCCAGACTTTGTAAGAAAAAGAGTAGTAGTATTACATTTTTGCTGGCTTTCAGCGTGCCTTCTTAAAGACAGTGTGGAGTGGGGTGTTAAATTTACTGAAATATTATTTGAAATGGTAACTTCTGTAACATTTGCAAGGTAAAGCTGCAATCAGAATAAATGAATGCGGCTTTTACGTAGTCAAGAAGAGCCAGTGTGGTGTAGTGGTTAAGAGTGCAGGACTGGGACTCAGGCGATCCGGGTTCGAGTCCCCGCTCGGCCATGGAGCCAACTGGGTGACTTTGGGCCAGTCGCAGACTCTCAGCCCAACCTACCTCACAGGGTTGTTGTTGTGGGGATAAGATGGAAGAGGAGAATGATGTAAGCTGCCTTGAGCCCTTTGTAGGAAAAAGGCAGGATATAAATCGATAAATAAATAAAATAAAAAATAAATAAGAAGCACAGTCTTTGCTGCTCACAGTAAAAACTGTGCTTTTTAAAAGGTCAGAGTCAGTTCATTCTTAGGGCCATGAGATAAATTAATAAATGAAGTCTTGGGCTATTATCCTACACCAGTTTAGGGAGAAAAAGGGCCTGTAATTCCCAATATTCTTGGAGCTTGCTGGAAGATGTGGGACCTTTTCTGTGTACACATGCATAGGGCTGCATTCTAAGAACCATTTCCAATACGAACCACACTCCTGGGCTGGGGTGTGGAGGGGGATTCATAATTTTAATTTTATTAAGCCCTCCAAGTGCTAGAAGATCCTTAGAAAACACGATTCTAACCAAGGGCAACTGTACAAGGCTTTGCTTTGCAAGCCATTTATTTATTTAGGCTCCTTGGACTGTTTACATAGCCGAAACGATACAAATAATGATAAAACAATAACACAATAAAACCACTAAAGAATTGTAGTAACAACAAATCCAGAGAAGCTACAATCAAACTGACACATAGTTACAGGAGTCCTGTATAACAAAAATATAAAATTAAAACTAGAAATTTAAGAGTTAAAATACCTGGAAAATGTCCAAATCAATCTTAGTATGGTCAAACATCCAACTGATGTAAGTACCCAAAAGCGACTGCACCATTTTAACATTAAAAACATTTAATCTTTTTAGTACAAGAACCCTGCGTGGGCCGGTTCAGGTGATAAAGAAACGCAAGTGGAGGACAGAATATTGCGGTATCTCTAGCTCCTCAGAAGAGTGTTAATGTACAGGACTGCGTCAGCCTGGAAAAGGGGGCTCTGCGGTGGTATTAGGGGTGCAAAGCGTCTAAGGAGCTCAGGGGCTGCTAGCCCCAAACCTCAGCACCGTGCCCCCCCGGAAACAAGAAATGCTGTTTTCCTTTCCTGGAATGTGCTCGCTGGGGCTTAATCTGTTCCTGGGGAAGGGTTCTTAGATTCTTTGCACCTCGGCATTATATTCTTCACCCATGTTAAATGGCCTCGCCTTCCTCATTTTCAATGGCCAGACTTCTTCCACAGTTCAGCCATGATCCATGATGCTCCAAGGACAACCAGGTGTCTCACCCTCCCCAGATAGATGCCTCCGAGACAGAGGAAGGGGGCAGATGAACCGCCAGGTTACAAGGGCAAGACATTCTGAGCAGGAGGAGCAGCCTGCCTTGGAAAGGGAGGAAGACTTTATGGAGGAGACTGAGGGGCAGGTGAAACGAGTAAAGCAGTCTAGAGATGTCCGATGAACCGCAGCAAGAATGACAATTGCTTTGAAATGGCAAACAGCAGAATGGGGATGGCAAAACTGCCAATGCAAACAGAAGACCGAATGAAGAATTTAATGATAAATGGAAATATTGTTATATGCACTTTAATAAACAGCAAAATGTAGTGTGTTAAAATACTGCTAATGATTTAGAAACGATTTAAAGTGATTGGAAAATTGTTGGTTTAGAGAACAATAATTTTTTTTCTGTGAGCTTCAGCAAAGTACTAATTCACAGAAATATAGAAATTCTCAGGTTTTTGGGGTATCTGCAGATTATGAATGTGTATGTTATATTTGCGTACGATCCCTTAACATTCTTATTTTTCTTTTGCATTTGTCCTTCTTTCTGTACTTTATTTCTTTTAAGAAAACAATTAAACAGTTAACAAGAGAAATGTCTGAAATCGCCACTGTTGTGCCTTCATGCAGTGGAAGTCACCCTGAAGGTGGACCCAGAATCTTTCTGCAAGGTTCCTGCAGATTCATCTCCTCACATACCAAAATTAATCATCACTTATTTATTGGATTCCTAGCCTGCCCCATTAGCCACACGGCTCCCTGGGCAGGTTACTCGCAGTGTCCTGCACCACACGTGCGAATCGAAGTGGCTGGGCCCCTTTGGGACGCCCCTCCTATTCCAGGACCGGGCTAAGAATCTTGCCGTCGGCTCAACAACTGCCCAATTCAGCCCCACACTCCTGAAGAGCAAGACAGTGTGAAAAAGGCAGGCCTTGCACAGCATCTGGGACCATTACCCATGTTTATACAGTTCATGAGGACTTCCGGGCACTTATGAAGGATGCACAGGAGCGGACCGTCAATCCTGCCCACAAAAGTGATATCCGCTAGAACGGCTAGCTAGTCCCACACATGTCCAAGCCGCCACATGCACGCTCCCCGTGAGCATCCTTTCCCTCATGAACACACTCGGGGAAGCCTGACCCATGAAACCTTTCCTTGTCCCGACGATATGTCTGGCAGCATCCCCACGCGACGCCCGCACCCCCGTTAGTCTGAGAATAACACACTTTTCACAGGTCTTGTCCCACACTCTTGTGCTTCGCAGCATATCCTACGGGTCCCCCACCCACCCTGCCCGGGCTGGTTGAGGCAGCAGTGCCCAGAGTGCTGGGACAGCTGGCCTCTCCGACTGACTTTAACGGCTCTCTTGGTCTGACGGTTCCTGCACGTTGTGCCTTCCAATCACAGTTTCACAATTCTTTTTTTAACAAGATGAAGTTGGAGGGAGAGAAGGGCAATAAGCAATTTTTTAAAAAAAGCCTGCACTTTTCTTGGACAGGTGAAGAAAGGATAGTCCTGTCCAGAGCTGAGGCACAGAGCAAAGATAAAACCCCTGAAAGGGAAAGCTGGGGTTCCCCATTTCCCACCAGGAGCCCCAAAAGACGAGGCATGCCCAGAGCTCTCCATGGGCCAACTGCAAAAGGAAGCAAAGGAGTGTGAGATGGGAACTTTTCCACAAAGATCCCTGGGATACGTGCTGAGAAACCTCAAAGAGGTTATTGTCTGTCCGCACTGCTGCGGGTTATTCAGCAAACAAGCCACCCAGCATGGCTTACTGCCAGGGGGCTGGGCCTGGTGAGCGAGCCCACCCGTTCCCCTCACCCAGATCTGTGCAAAGGATTCTGGCTTCGCTTCTTCCTTGCTCAGTTCTCCATCCGCTTGATCTTTTGGAGCGGGATGGGCTGGGAGCTTTCAGGGATCCGAACTCCACCTGCAACCTAAAACTGCACAGCTAGTTTTCCACCTTAACATGAACCAGGCCCTCCCTTGTGCAACTTCCTGGAAGATCAGTATTGTTTACTTGGAGTCGGTTGATATAGTCAGAAAACCTCCTTTGTCTGGTGAACATGCTTTGGAGAATGCCTATTAAGTCCGGAAAGCATGCCTTTGGCAAGGTACGGAGAAAGGCCAAGCATCTGCAGCTCTAGAGAAGCCCGGCTTACTGACATCATCAGTTTTTATATGCATCAACCTAAGAGAATTAATGCACGGCCTTAACGTTTGCACTACCCGTATGTACTCTGTGCCTGCAGTTCTCTTTGTGAATGCTCTGATGTGGGTGATCCTCAACAGCCTTCTCCGTGACAGGCTTTGATCCCGATCAGGCCGCCCTATTCTCAGCTTACCACGCTACGTCCCGATTCGGCGCAACCCACCAGCTGCAAGAGAAGGGCTGCGACAGGACCGGGCAGAGCGCCACGCACCGGCTGGCGCTGGGTGCCGGGCACGGGAGCTGCCTTTCCCGGAGGGAGAGGCTCTCGCCTTTCTCCGGGGACCTGCTGGGGCAGGGGCAGGGGCGGGCAGGGGCAGGCGGGGGGGCGGCAGGGGCAGGGGCGCGATTTCCCCCCAGAAGTTGGTCTAAGCCATGGCAGAAGCCCGCCACTGCTGCCCTTCAGTGCGCGCGCGTGGAAAGGGCCAGACCTCCCCTCCCCACGCAGCCTCTTCGCCCCCCGCCCGCCACGCCTGCGGCGGCCCCCTTCCCAAGCGGCGATGCCCCCCGCCCCCCCGCCCGGCCGGCCGGAGCGGGCGCTTGCAGGAGGCTGGGCACCAGGAAGCAGCGCAGGCGGGACGGCGGGCAGGACGAGGCCGGCGCGCACGCCACCAGGCAGCGCAAGCCGCCGCCGCCGCAGGGCCGGCGGGCGCACACGCATCAGGAGCCGCTCTCCTCCCCTCCACACGCGCCGCCGCGCGCGTTGCAAGCGCCGGCTCTCCTGCGCGGCGCGGGCGGCACCACGGAGCCCATCATCCCCGCCGAGCGCGCTGCAGGGCTGCGGCGGCCGGGAGCCCCGCCGCCCGCGCCACTCACCCGCCAGCGCCCGGAGGTGCCGGAGGCGCGTCAGCACGTCCTTGCGCGGGTCCAGCGCCTTCTGCGCGGACTTCTTGGCGTCGGCGTGGCCCCTCCGGGAGAACATCGCGCGCGGGCGCGCCGTCCCCGTCCGTCCCCGACACCGCGCCCGCCGCCGCCTCCCGCCGCGGGCCGGTCTACCTGGCGCGGGAGGGAGGGAGGGCGGGCGGGAGCAGGAGGCCGGAGGGGCGGGCGCGGATTGGCGGGCGCCGGGCCCAGGCGGCGCCCCATTGGCCGCGCCGCCGCGGGCCCGCCTCCCCGC